CATGTATTCTTTTTTATCAAGTGACAGCAATAAGTAATACAAAAGTATACTTATATTTATACACATACATTTCCTTATCTTCGTCACGTTTATTGATCTCTGTATTAAATTGTGTTCCGATGCCAGTGTCATAAATATCATTCGGTCTATGTTTTGTATTCTTTAACACAGCTATATTTACCATCCCTCCAGTTTTCATGTTAAATGGATCTGACTAAATAAACCACATGCTGTTATATTTTTTCACATTATTTTCTACATTCTAATCGTACTAGACATCTTATCATTATTACATCGGATGCAACATTTTCTCCAAGAGCTAAGCCAACAACATTGATACTTGTCGGCCTTTCATGAAGTTTTTGAACGATTTTCATTTCTTCGACCTTCTCCCTAAAATAATTCTCCTTACAATCGTATGTACCATAAATGATTAATAATACTTTTCCAATAAAGAGATACATCTAATATGTATATACCTAAGTGATGTTTTTCATCCTCACTGTCATCATCATCTGAGAGAACTTCACATTTCCTTAATGGTTTTCTATTTCTTTTTTTAAACTGGATATTTCTGGACATTTTATCATCACTACCCATATTTCTCTAATAATATAAAAACGATATTTAAGCAAAGTCGCAGCAGAAGAGGTTAATGTGGGAACTAAAATCGCTTCTACCGCTGAGACCGAGTACAAAATACAAAACCCGGCCAATAAGTCTCTTTTCTATTGCTGCACTAGCTTACACTTTGATTCTTTTTCCCCCTTTTTCTTAAGATTTCGTGGACAGAAATGAAAAGGAGAACTAGTAAAACCAGTGCAGCAATAGAAAATAGACCTATATGAGATACTACTGACAACACTTTGCATTTAGACTTTAACTTAACCTAACTAACAAATATTTTTACAACGTTCTGGTAAAAATGTTATATATTAATTACGAAAACATTTATAAATATGTTTATAAGTAGAGTGTACAAATATACTAATACAAGCAGAATAACATAATTATTAAACTGGATATATTACCAAGCCGCAAAAAATCTTCTTTGGTTAATTTATGCAACACATTGGTTGATATATCTCTCGTCTTGAATTCCTCTACTAATTCACTAACTCCGATACCGCATAATAACGTTTCGGTTTGCTTTGTAAATCCAGAAAAACCAATACTTCTTTCTCTCATTTTCGAAATAGGATGATACTTGTAAAAATCCTTCGAGAATTCCGAAAATTTGTATTTTTCTCAACTACCGCCAAAGAAGAAAGCAATCCTTCCTAGAGATTCCAGCTGGCGACATCTCTGTCCTTATGATATTACTGTTTCAATTGGACATTGTACGTAGGGATTTTACTGAATCTGCCATTAACATTTGTAGAACTGCGAATGGAAATAAAATTAACTGGTGGTAACACTGATCACTTGAAGATTGTAACGAGCAATGATAGGTGCGTACGTAAATATTACTGGCGATTTGGAATATTTTATCTGTACGCGTTTGTTAGTTGACAGGTCCTGCAGTATGGTAATTCTCTAAAAGTGATTGAAGCACACATAAATGTATGTATGAATTGAAATTTTTATCTATAAAAGATTTTAATATTTTCTATTACAAAGATTGTATACCTTGGGTACATATATGTGCGTGTATATATATATATATATATATATACACACACACATGTATATAAACTACAGAATATATATACACATGTTTATAAACTACAGAATTCTTGGTAATATTGCTTCTCATTATTTCTTACTAATTCTTTGAACTGTCGTTAATTTCATAAATGTTGCAGGTATAGCAACATGTCAGCAGTATATCCAACTATACCAAAGCTGGCAGTGAGAGACAGCATTGATGATGATGATTTAACTGATATTGATGATGAGGTATTCATCAGGGATGGCAGAAATGGTGGATTGAAATTAGATGATGATGGTGGAGTTAAGCGGCCTCTCATGGCACCTCGTAGAAAATGCAAAAAATCCTGCAGCTTCCAGACTAACAAGTTCTCATACAAAGCACTTTTCGTGCCATTGTGCTATGGGATTACAGCACTGACCATAGTATTAGGCTTAATTATACTTTGTATATTTACTGCAAACATATTTCCTATGCCATTAACAATATTGAAGAACTGGTTGACGCATGAGCTAAAGGATACTATAAACAAATCGGAGATTATTCCATGCACATCGCTCTCATTTCAAGTCTTATGGACCAGATCATTGCCAAAATTATCTTCTGAGGCACCTCTTAGGAGTAACGATGTGAATTTAGATGGAATTGAAGATGTTATTGTGGGATTCAGCACAGGTACGAGAAGCAATACTTAATTACATAATATTTTTCCTATTTGATATCATTATTTCATTATTTTGCTTTTTTTGTTGATGATCGATTCTCCTTCAGTTCATTTATTTAATTTCTACTTAAACATCAAATTGCTTCGATCATTTTATAATTTTGTGCTTTGATTTTATTTGCCTTGTTTACAGAGTTTGGTTTCACAATTAAATGATGTTTCTTATGAAAAGAGAGGTGAATAATTAATATTCTTATGACTATATCTACGGTATTTACAAACGAATAATAATCCTGAATTTATAAATTCAGGTTTGGACACCATGGATGCGTCAGAAGATATCTGTGCCATATACTTCGGGAATCAAACGCCATGTTTGGGCGGCGTGTTGGCGTTAAACGGCAAAACTGGCGATACCATTTGGACACATTGGACCGCCCACGCGATATTTGCCGTCGATTGCAGCGTGGATCTGACGAGCGATAAGATCAAGGATTGCGTCATATCTGGACGCGGTGGGATATTGCAGGCCATCAACGGCCACGATGGCTCCAGCATATGGGAGATACCGATGCAGAGTTCAACGACGTCCTTGGGCCAACAGAGAATCTTGGACGTCTACGACGCGAGATTTCTGGCGGATATGGACGGCGACGGTATCGGCGACGTAATAGCGTCGCACGCCACGCAAACTAACGACGTTCGGACGAGCAATATGCTAGTGATATCGGGGAAAAGCGGAAGTGTCATACGCAACATCAACTTGCCAGAGTCGGAACAGCTGTTCATAGCGCCCCAGATCTTGGTTCATCCCGACGGGGAGAACGTGTTCGTTCTAGCTACGAACAGTCAGAAACAGGCCGGAGGGTTGTACATAGTGTCCCAGGGAAGCATATTTTATGGCGATCTGGTATGTTCTCATGTAGCGTACTTGTGCCCGTTTCTACCGTCGTGGTTGAAATCTAATCGACGATTAATGACCGGTTTCTACCACTACGGGCTTAATCGATTGGTCGGTTTCGTTGGTTTAATCGTCGATTAGATTTAAATCGTGACGATAGAAACGGCCGTAGTAAAGAGTAACATATCTTACTTGTTTGCTTCTGTTTGCAGCAATTGCGCGAGCTTTACCACAATACGGGAAAAGGCGCGTTACTACAGCCGATTTTGGTCGACATTACGTCGGACGGAATCGAGGACATCGTCGCGGCTATGTTCAATTCCACGATTATGGCTTACGACGGATTAACGTTCGAGCCAATCTGGAACTACACCGTTCCCAATTCTGAAGTGATCAGCTTACCGATTCCCGGTTACTACAACGACGACGACACGCCGGATTTCATGGTGAAGCATCAGATAGGCGCCGGTTTCCCGACATATTATTACACCGTAGCTACAGTCGTGGACGGTCGCAACGGGCAGTCCTTGCTCGAGAGACCCATGGAGGACAGCCTGAGCAGTCAGATGTCCGGACTGTCGGTCACAGTGGACGGTTACGGCAACGACTGGTTCCTGCATTGGTCCGCCGATTGTCTGAACTACGAGGGCGTGAAGGAGAAGTATCAGTTCCTGAAGGACCAGAGCCTCGTGTCGCAGACGCGCGCCGATCTCTGCCGGCTGCGGTTCAATTCGACGCTGACGACAAAACTGTTGGCCCTCAGCCAGCACGTCGGTCCGCCCGGGGTGCAGCTATACTTCTCGGAGGATTGGAAGTCCCTGGAGTTCAACAATTCGGTGGACCCGCGGCAGGAAGCGGAGAGGTACTGGGACAGCCATCCCCGACCCGAGGTCGCGGATCCTTACGCGGATATACCGCTGGTATCCGAGAGGTCGCCGAGGGTTCACAAGAATCATCGGAAGGACGGTATCTTCAAGCACAAGAATAACGATTTGCTGACAGAGATCGGCGCGAAGTACGATTCGGACGCGGTTTATGAGAACTTCGACGAGTTCAAGGACCACAAGAGTCGCGGGGAAAACGACGCTGACCGTGAGGCGTGGAAGCATGATAACAAGTGGGCGAGGGATAAGGTACAGTTAGACAAGGAGTACGGAGACGGTGTATACGGAGGCGACGATGACGGGGAACAGAGTATAGATTACTCGCAGGCCATGATGCGGGAACAGAGAAGCGTCGCCTCCGGACTGATGCCTCCTGGAGAGCCCAGCTCGACAAGTATTTCCTACGGAGAACGCAGCTCCGGAGGATTGGAGGAGGTGACGAATATGTCGACGGAAACGACATCGTCGACCACGTCGAGCGCCGAATCGAGAAGCAGCGTCGGAGAAACTACCGCAAGTACACCAGACACGTCGGCATTTACAGGCGAGACTACCGGACTAAGAAGTACAAACCTGGACTTGGAAGTCACACGTATGGAAGCATTTGGCGTTACGGACGCGACTTATCGAGACACCCCGAGTACAACACAGCCCAGGCGGGTCGACCGGCATGGTTTTCCCAGCATTTTCCAAGACATGGATGACGAAGCGAGCATAGAGAAAATATTTAAACGGGAATCGCTTAAAAATCAAAATAGAGGTAAAGACAAGAGGAAGCAAACGCTAACGTCGGTGGCGGATGAGAATTACAGGATACGACAGAAGCGACGGACGAGACGGAAATCTGAGACCGGCGGCGGCCGGTCGAGCGAAATTAACGGTATTCAGCGGCAACCGCCGACCGGCATTCTCTTACCGTCCATCGTCGAATCCAAGGGGAAGACTTCGGTGGATCTGGTATTCTCCACGTTCTGGCTGCCGTCGTCCGAAGTGTCTGTGATATTGTCGCAAGCGGATCTGGAGTGCATCCAGAAAGCTTTGTCAGGGGGTAAATTGCAACACAAGAAGGACGATGATATCATCAACCAGTGTCTGTTTGAGCGAGGTGTCAATTACAGACTGTACCAGGAATCAACGGACAGAGAAAACACGAAGATCGCGCTCGGCCAGATGACGATATATAGAATGAAGCTGGAATGCATGTGTCCGGAGGACATGTTACCTAATCAAACCTGTAGGAATATTTCCCTGCATCAGAGCTGGCCCGCGCACCTAGGCTCTTCCGGGAACGGCCATTTTAAACCATTACGTAGATTAAATATCTGAAGTTGAAAGATCGCATCTAGCCAGGCGGGAGCCATTGGGAAAAATCATCTCGTTGTAACGCTAGCGAAGATGTTAACGAATAACGGAATTAAAGAATTATCAGATAGCTTTATGTATTGTTTGTAAAACTATACAGTAACAAGTTCGTAACTGTAATTGTTACATAAAAGTAATTTATATTAATATTTATATGAATTTTTCTGTACATATACATACGTAGGAACACTGTTGTTCGTAGTTTCCACAATTGACAAGGTGTTTCAGCCTTTGATTTTTCTCCGAGACACAACTGTCTCTCCTCCAAATTCCTCGAAATTCTCCATTAAAGGAGGATCGATATAATTGCGCTATTTGCTAATCGCAATTGACAATGAAATCTCTTTTGGGGACGCAGTTGTGAATTATATACTTGAGTGTTTCATTTTCGCGGTGGGGTCGCCTTTTATCGTTGGATCCATTATAGAAGTCGGTCCGACCGAGAATGAAACATAAATAATAAGATTATACTGTAAGATATAAAGCGAACTGAGAAACACGCCATCTTGACAAAAATATCGATGACATCAACAATAAGAGGACGAGAGAAAGTGAGCGGGAGCGTGGGTAGTTCAGTGGGAAATCAATTATTAAATCGATCTTTCGAAACGTTCATTTTATTTAAACGTGAATCTTATAAATATTTTGACATAATATTTCACAAATGTTTTTACAAATTTACTTGATAATATAATATTTCTAGATATTATAAAATATATAAAATCAACGTAGAAATATTATTTTTCATATTAGCCGAGGCTAATCAGGCTAACTCAGGCTCCCGCTCCGATACGTTCTTTCTCGTCCTCTCGTTTAATGTTCGTCAAGATGTTCCTATTCCTCGTTTGATCGCCTACAATAGAAAGATGTCAAAATGTATAAGCCGCCCACGCTACGGCCCGGCTCTGGTTAAAAATGTAATACGCAGATATTCAAAGAATATAAAATATACATTACTCGTCCACGCGCGCTAATTTCATTGTGCATTCTACCACTATCAGAGCTGTCCCTGCTGCTATGCCATTGTTTGATCGATGATTACCGGAATCTTGTCTATCGGTGATTCGTCTTGACAGTTGTTCGCATTATAACTGTCGTCCGATCCTGATGAGAACTTTTGTGAGGGTAGAACGAGGCGTGACATCTCATTTGCAGCGTGTCGTTATAAGTGTCGCGGCCATAAGCTGCAAATGAAAATTATGGCGATGGGAAATGCGAAACGTCGTAAGATGATATCATACGTCACGTAAATTTAACGTAAAGTTGAACCAGAATTAATCAGATTCTTTGATAACGCACTAGCGGGACATGCTTATGTTATATGCAGCGGCAATAATGGCTTTCGACCACTGGTCGTTCAAAAAACCGGTGTGTTTGTAAGTATCTTTTTGTTAAGCATAGAAAATATATAAAATTTAATAACATACATACACACACACACACACACATAATGAAACAAGTATGTCTGGCCGTTAAGTAATTGAATTTTGTTAACATTTATATATTATTTTAGAGGACATGCGAGTGTTTTGATTCCTTAGATCGTAAAAAATGTCAAGATCATCGGGATTATTCTTCAAAGGAGTACAAGTTATATAATTGTTGCTTGAATCTTGGGTACATTTCTTCACTCGTTACTCCATCACTAATTACATTTCGAAAGATTGATGTTTACGTTTAAATTTACAGAAAGATGGCTGTGCGGAGTAAAACGGCTGATAATGCGTATGACGGTAGATACAAGCATTTTCGGAGACCGGTGCTACCATTTATTGTGCCGAAAATAGAGACTACGGATATACCATACTATTTAGACCGCAAAGTTCTGAGCGGAATCTTACAGAGACAATGTTACGCCATATCTCCGAAATCGGAACCATATAAGAATGCAGGGACACAGACGGATTACAGAGAGAGCGAAGCGCAAACCGAGCCCTGGGAACCACCATATAAGATTGTTCCTGGTAATAATAACGTAACATTAAACATATTAACTTTTATAGAATTATTGTCCTAACATTATTGAAAGAATATTGTAACTCCTTTGTTCTATTTTATAAAAATTGTTGTGAAAAACCAAAACGTCGATACGTTTAGGTCACAACCCCGAGGTATTGACGTTGGCTCATTTGACTTGGGAGCATGGATTACCAGCGGGTATTCACGAGGTACATGTCATTAACAGGTTGCGAATGAAAAGAGCCTGGGAGGCTATCCTGCCTCCGATGGATACGCCAGCCAACATAAGAATGCGGAATTCAATAATAACAGCTTTGGAAATCGACAAATGGGCCTTTCGGGAATCGGTGAGTGTTTCAGAGTGTTCCAATTAAGCTGCTCGAGCTACTTATCGTATTCACTTCATCATTAATTAAAATTCATTATTAGCGCCGGAATTCACTTTCGTCTGATCATTTCAGGAGATTCAATTCATAATGGATTTGCGATTAAGACTGATGAAAGACTTCTCGCGAAATCGTGACTCTGTGTATAAGAAGAAACTGCAGGGTCGTTTCGGTAGGCTTCAGGACAAACTGAAGAAACGTCGAGACGACCGAGTCAACAGTATCAGGCACGATCTCGAACGAGACCTGCGAAAATTGTACAGAAAACAATGCGGCAGGCGACCGCGCAAACTCGACGTAATCGAGCGACATTCCGATCCCAAATCTTCGCCGCAAATATGTTTCCGGGAGCATCCTCAGAGACGGCACGAAGCATTGCGGAAGCAATTTTCGGGCGAAGATTACGTCGAACGTAAGTATGCGAACGAAGCACGGACAATGGTAATTAGCTCAGCAGAGAGGAAAAATTGCTCTATATATTTTTAATCGACCTCACTGATCCGTTATCGAATCTCAATCATTTGTGCTGATATTAACATCTTATATGATTCATTTGATTTGTTCGACTTATCCACTCGTTTAAAACACTCGAAAGAAGAAGAAGTGGATACAACGCTCAGCTGGTTGCCGACTGTCGAAGAACCGAAGGTGATTAGACACAAATCGTGCAAACCGGTGGACATCTGTATCAGAGAGACCAGGTGGACGGAGGAGAAGCTGAAGCAACTTCATTCCGACCTGAAAGCGATCCGATTAAATGTCAAATCTGTGAACTCGGTTTCGCGGCTGATGAAGCGTAAATACAAGCCGACGGCTCTGCCGGTTACACCTTGCCGATCAGGCATATGGGACAGGAGGCAGAAACAACTAGAAGAATCAGCTACGTTCATTCAGAAGATCGTTAGGGGTAGAGCGATGCAATGTCTGGTACGGATTATTTGTTACGTGGAATATTCATGAAATGCGCAAAGACCCGAGGAATCTGCAATTGTAATATTCGTATAAATATGCATTTCTTAATCATTGATTGTAATTATATTAGTGTTCTTAAGTATAAATACCTCGAAACGATAAAGTGTTATTTCTTCTAGATTGGTCTTGTAAATTGCTCTTCTAGATTGTTCCGCTTCTGGATTGCTCCTTTAGGATTGTCCTTCTAGATTATTCTTTTAGATGTACGAAGGACGTGATAGATGTAAGGAGCTGATCAAGGAATTACGGTCGACCGAGGCACCTGAGCAAGATGATCGAGAAGATCTTCTTCGTGACGAGGAAATACGCGTCGTCGAATCACAGCCACTGCAAGACGGCAGATCTGTACAGGAGGATCGTCTGTGCGAAATTCTCAACTCTTTGGAGGGAAAGACAGTCTGCGGGACGTTGGATCTCCTTAGCAAGGTAATTTCCGCTTTACTCTATCGAGAAGTGGTTCACGGATTTATACTCTCTCCTTCGTCTCCAGGAATTGGTGAGATTAGAGGATGAACGTAGAGCCCATGCCTACGCTCTGCTCGCTGAGAGGGAGAGATGTATGAGGGAGGCCGCCGAAGCCGGTACACGGCAGATGGAGCGTCATCGACGACGAGAATTCGATGAAATGTTCAGACAGATCGTAAAAGTGAATCAGGACTCGGTGGAGGCTTATTTGGAAGATATCATAAAGGAGGGCGTCGATTGGGTATCCGAGAACACAGCTAAAGAGCACATCTTAGAGCTCTGCGATAAGATAGACGACGTATCGAAATATGCTACGGAAAAGTAAGACGCGCGTCGATGACTTAATGTGAAAGTGAATTGTAAAAGTAAATTATGTAAGAACATCCTCGCAAAAATGACGTTTCTGCAGCGCGAACGACACGGCTGAAGAGGAATTGGTGACGGATATGATTTACAATTTCGTCCTACCTGAAGTGGAGAAGCACGACATGAGGAGAAATATTCGCGATCGACAGGAAAGTTACATGCGACAGGCGCACGAGTCAATTTACGAGACAATTTTAGATTTACCTTCAATCGAGTCATCCCCAATCACCGGTCGAGGGACTTTCATTGAACACGAGGATGTGCAAACGATTTGCGTGGATGATACGGTAAGAACCGATTCATCACTGATATGTAATCCTCGTACTAATTGCGAATAAAAAGATCCGCGATAAATTTGATCAGGAACGAGTTATCAGAGTGGAAGAACTAGCAACCGATGAACAGCCGTCGAAGATAGGAAGCGAACAAAATTAGGCCGGAGGACTCACGCTTGATACTCGAAATAAAATCTATTTCATCTTTCTCACGGTAAAATTCACCGATGTCTCTTCTTTCGTTAAATCGACACTGGCGCATTCAGTTCAATGAAATGTTTATTATGTGTATTTCACCGCGACATGTAGTTTATTGTCTTTAATCTCTCGCTTCGTCTCTTCAATAAATGCACGCAGATATAAACGTTTTTTAATGGATTTTATGCAGCATTTATCTCACATGTGCCTTATATCAGCAGAATCGCGAGTAATAATCTTACAGTAAAACGCTATAAATTTGCACAAAAATGTCTGTGCACCGGCCGATCGATATTGCGTAACGGAACGCAAATAATTAAATTAATTAAATATATTATTTCTCGTAAGATATTGGCATTGTTTTTCCTTCTCAGTGGTCCGAGGTGAAGTGACAAAAGAGGGCCACGTTTCGAAATTTGCTAACACTGCAAACCTATAGTTCACATCGCGTATACCATAAATTTTCTGTACTATCAGCACATTTGGAAGCACTCTAAAATAGGTCTGTTCATAACTGCATAAGTTGTATTGTAAGTTGTATTGTGTGCACTTAAGATGAAGTAGATACGAGGGTGGATCAAATATAAACGAGCCTTTTTAAATTGCGCGCCTGTCGGCGGCGTGAGGGGTCTGCAACGTTTTAGACAGTGGAGGGGGGTCATGTGAAAGGCAGTAATAACGTTGGCGCGCCACGTACTTCTTACTCTCAGCAGCAATCACGAATCACGAGCGAGAAAGAAGTACACACTGCAGTTGCACAACGTGTTATTATTAAGTTTCTCGTCAACGAAAATGTAAATGCTGCTGAAATTCGGTGCCGTTTACCGTCCTTTTTGAAATGCATTACACCATTGCTTCACCCGAGACCATGAAAGGGTTCTTTCCCCGAACTGTGCGATCGATACAGTTGTGTTAATCTGCGTATAAACCACAACTATATGCGTGTGAGGATCGGACCGTCGAAAGACGTTACAAAACCTATTAACATACATACATTATTACAATGGAAAATACGCCTGACTAACCCTTTGAGTCATATTACTTGAGAAATAGAAGTACCTCTGACTCCATCGGTTTCCATATCCACAACCTCAGTTTCTCGTTAAATATAGTGGCGACTCGTAGCGGAGATTCTGGAACTAAATTGCAGCAATAACGGGTCTAATAATTCCGTAAACCCGTTATTTCTGTAATTTGGTCAATCTTTTAAGGCTTAGAGCTTAAAAAATTGACCAATCACACAGTCGATTATTCTCCTCATATTCGACTATGATTGGTTTTTTATTTTTTAAGTCTTACGCTTTAAATTCTCATTGTAGACCCCGCTTAAAGTCTACAGAATCGGCGTAACGATGTGCCTCTAGAACTTGGCAACCTTGGTTTAGTTATCATCATCAGGACACCAACAACATGTCAAAGCCTGTATGGGTTTTATTATTAGCTATTCAATGTTGTCTCGTCGCAGATGCAGTTGGCTCGATAGGTGACAAGTCGCAGATATATAATCAATGTCTGGCGTTATGTCGCAACAGCAACTGCAAAGATGGTAATGACAGCTGAAGTTTGCTTTCTCGATTGTCTTATTTGCTTCGACTCCTGTCGAAGTGATGCAAAACAAAGATTGACAATGCCAGAATTCTTTTTTAACGATCGGCATAGTGATTTAGAAGCATATGATATTCACAAAAATAGGATGAACGGCATATTTGTTATTTTATAGGTATCGTACTTGAGTATTATTTTTATAGATTTTATATTTTAACTCTTAATTTAATATCTTAACTCTTAAATGCATAGTGTTGCAAATTTGCAACATATTTATTTTTTCTCTTTGTCGAGATTAAAGGTACACTTAAATGTGGAAGACCAAATTCTTCCTTAGAACGAAATATACAATCCAAATGGCACAAAGGCAATGCTCAACATATGCCTCAGATTTTTTTTTTAATATTTTTCTCATTTTCTGGGACTACCTATGAACCTAAAAAAAAATAATTCAGTAATAAAAAAAAATTCATGCATTTAAGGGTTAATATTTTGACGATTGATATAAGTGCCAGTTGAGTATCAGGTTTGATTGTTATTTGATTAATTCGTTATCGAAATAACTCCAGCAATATATTGAGACACTGAAGTATGTTTTTAATAAATCACGTAATGTATATTTCAGAAATAGTTTTTAAGGTACCACCATCTTTATGGTTAACTTTGTTAAATTGGTCCTGCAAAGAAGATTGTAGTTACATTTGTACATGGAGGACAGTTGATTCTTTTATATCTCATGGATTAAAAGTGCCGCAATTTCATGGAAAAGTAAGCAATAACAGGAAGATATAAGAATTTTGTTTAATTTTTCAGGGATAGTAAATGTGTGTGAGTTGAAAAGTTATGGCTGTTTTTATAAGAATGGTGTTATTAGTGCTACCAAATATTTTCAAATATCAGTGTGTTGTGGAATATGAGTTGCAACATATAGTGCAAAAATTCACCTATTATTTTAAATTATAATGGAAAAAGTAAATTTTTGTATTTCTTATTCTATTATTCTATTATTCTTATGCTTGCAGTGGCCATTCATCCGCATGTTTGGATGTCAGGAGCCTGCATCCGTTTTATTCTCAATGTTAAATTTCTATGCCCATTGGAAGATGTTTCGAAAGTTTAAGAAACGGGTCGGCAATACCAATCCTATGTTTTATGCTTGGTCATATTTTAGCATTGTGAGTATAATAAAATATATACTAATATACTAACCCGATGCAAGCAAACTTTTGTAGTAATTATTTAGCAGCAAGATTTTTTTAGAAAGATATCCCAAGATTTTCACGGTGATACTTGCCTATACCATAATACCTATAATTTGGATTATGTTAGTCATTCGTCCTTTCCCCATAGTGACTTGTAACTTTGAAACCTTTAGCTGTTTATGAAACAATAGTGTTTTGATCCTGTTTATTGTAGATATGCTTGAATGGATGGTTTTGGTCCGCTATATTCCACTCACGAGACAGACCATTTACAGAAGCGATGGACTATTCTTGTGCGTTTAGCATGGTACTTACACTCTTATACTGCATGCTCTTAAGGTAACGCATCCTAAATCTTATGTATTTCCAGGCATAAATAACTAATATATCGAAAATAATATTAAATTGCAAGAATATTTTAATTGATAATCTTTAAGATGATGTGCAAAGTTCGAAAACAAGAATCTTGATTATTTTCAGGATAACATATAGAAACAATAAAGTATTTATCATGATAACTTGTGGATACGTGAGCATCTTATGCATGCATTTATCGCATTTATGGTCGGGCAAAATTAATTACGGTTATAATATGACGCTGAATATTCTGATAGGTGAGTTCTACAGCATGATCCATTTTCTATGAAAATAATTATACATATATACATAAGGATAAAATATATATGTTTCCAGGATTAGCAACTTTTACAGTAACAATGTTATGGTGGTACGTTAATCGCGCTAAGTTATTTTATGCGTACTTAATCGCTTGGTTCAACATATTGACCGTTTTCGTCACTCTGCTCGAATTGGCAGACTTTCCGCCCATTTTCTGGGTACTCGATGCTCATTCCTTATGGCATGCTAGTACAGTTCCTTTAACTCTACTACTATATAGGTAATTGAACGTGTGTGCCGTTTAATATTTATGTAATATAAATGTGTTTACGCGCGCGCTCTTATATATTTATTTGCAGGTTTATGATCTCAGACTGTTCCCATCTGCAACATATTATAATAAATCATTCTTAGACATTAACCATAGGCAGTGAAAAATTTTATGTGGCTTAATATCAAATCCGTATTTCTTTCAAAAAATTCAGGATAAGAGCGAAAATATCAATTTTAACTTGAACAGATCTACTCCTTAGATGTGATTTCACGTTAATATATAATTAATATATAAGTATTAGTTTTGTGCCATATTTGTTACATTTAATATAAAGGTATTTATTTTGCATTTTATATAAAAATTTTGTCTCTAATGGATATTAAATACGTGAATTTAATGTATTTTACATGTCTAAAAAGGAATTAAGAAATATACACTTTTAACTTATATGTCTAAAATTCTTACGCTACACACTTCTTCTGGAACATTTGACATGAGGATTGTGAATCATGTGTAACCGATATCAGAATAAAGTTTTATTTCATAATTAATAATAAAATGCATTAAGATATGTTAATTCTATCTGCTACAGATAAATATAGACTTTAACGTATCATAACATTGCTAAAAAAAAAAAAATCTTTTGAAAAATATAATATTAAGAATATTACTGCAATAAAATTTCTTAATATTCATAATTAAATATACACATATAAATTTTTTTCCCCTTAGGACAGAGCATAATAAACATTGGCAGGAAGATAGTAACATTATAAATCTTTACAGATTTGCACTCTTGTACTTATATAGCAGCGGATTCGTTATAAATACGTTGTTTATGTGCAAATCTTTCCCCCTTTTGGGCTTTGCATATGTATAAAGCGTCGAAATGCGAAGATGTGAAAAATCCTCCACTCCTTCAATTTTATAGATATTTACGCTATGACTGAAGATACCCCATACCATGATTAAATGTAGGCGACAATAGATTGCGTGAATGTTTAAGTACCCACTTATCGCTGTAACAGAGCAAATATTTCTCCCTTATTAGATACTTTACATTCAATATTGTCGCTCCCACGCTAGTTAAGGCTCACTGGATACTTTTCCAGACGTGTCCTTCTGTCGCGACAAAACGTCATAAAGCTTGATGTTTCGTCAAATAGAGTACCTAATACAGTGTACAAAAACCTTATACAGTCATTGAATATATACTTCTAAGTCAAAACTAATGTAAAGACGTGATGTAAATGTAACACGTAAAATATATAAAATTGATTTTACATTACGCGACGGAGAAAAAAAGAAAAATAGCTGTCTCTCATTTATCACTCATTGAATTTGTGAAACAATATTTAAGTTGGAAGCACCTACATAGGGTGAGCAATCGGACAACAAATGATTAATCTTGAAAATCAGGAATATTTAAATGTTCTACTTTTTTAACTCATTCCGATATCTCCGGACTCATCGGATATACTTGATCATTTGATTCGTAACGTTTTGTCACTCGATTTTAATCGTTGAACATTTTAATAATTGAATTTTTACCTACTCTCGACTTTGAGATATGAAAAACTTTTACCTATTTTGAAAAAATAATGTAAGTGAAAAATTGTTTGCGGAAATAGTTCTATCGGCCGCGTTTATCAAACCGACCTCCGTTCTCCGTGTAAAAATAGCGCGGGCGAGGAACGATATATATTAGCGAGATTGATCCTTCATTTCCGTATTGTATAAATGCTCTTCGACATATGCATATGCAAATGGCACGAGTGAAGCGATGCACAAATAAGTAACTATTATTCTTCTATCCGATATAAAATCACCGTCTCTCATTGTACTAAGCGACATACGTTGATCCTAACATTCACTGACTGAACATCCTTTGATTCCACGCATCCGAACTGGATCCTGCAGGCTCTCGTTTCATATTGCGACGTAGAAAAACCTCGTTACACGCTTCATCTCAACGAAATTACCCGACTATTCTGCAATCGATCTTTCTTGACGAGAAAATAAATACTCGGAAGTACTGTAGATTTTTTAACGATCAGTAACCAAATACTGAAAATAAAAAGAATGTGTGAGAAATTGACGATGTCTTCCTTTTCCGGAGACCGAGAACCTCACACGAGACGTGTGAATGTTAAGATATTCGCTTAGCATACAATGAAACGCCCGAATACGCCTCGAGAAAGATTTAGTACAACAATATCACAATCTATTTTATCCACCTTCACGTACTACTACGTAGCTGCTCGCGTGTGCATCGACACACGCATCTTCCCCTCGAAAACTCAGGCAGTGTGAAATCGGAAAGCGAGACGCGCACGGATTGCGAATCTCTACTCCTCCTCCTCTTTATCTCATATAAGTACCCTCGTTTAAGTAATTTATGATTAATTCGTTGCAAACATTACTCGAGACTTGCTTTGATTTGTTCGCGCTTCGTGCGTCCTTCAGTGCTTGAATAACGACTCGTTCTCGGGATTATCGTCGCGATTATGCTTCTCGAGATTTCCGGACAGGGTCGGGTCCGGGCGTCGCCTCTTGAAAAAGCCGAGTTTCCTCAGCACCAACGTCAGCAGAATAAACAACAATAAGCCCGCCACCACGGCGACGATGATCACCCACACCGGTACCGGCTCGGCTTCTTGCTGGTCCAGCAGATCCGGATAAGCGATTGTCTCGGCCTGTGTAACGGAACAATCGCGTCAATAAATCTGTAGTGAATCCCACTACTTACCAATGTTATGGAAAATCGCAATAGCTTACGATAGCGTGATCGTCCTTCAAGTTTTCTTGCTGTATTATAACGTTCGGGGGTATCACTATCTTAGCGTTGGAGCCTATCTTGACCATGTCGACTTTCGGGTAATCCTCGACCAAGGTGGAATTCCAGAGTCTAAAATTAGTCATTTTTTTTAAACACGACAAAAACATTAAAATATCAAGATTCGATGTAATGCAATAGGATTAACGCATTTATACCCAATTTAACGTTACAAGTGAGAAGTAAACGTTAATTATATACAGTACCTGGCCATATTATTAGACGCACTTTTTGATTCCTTAATAGAATACAGATTAGAAGGAGAAGAAGAGCTACTGATTCTATTTTCACTCGATTAGAATAACTCTCGGTGTCAATCAGCGCTTCTTTTACCTCCGCAACCTTCTGAGCCGTCAAATCACTTATTTTGCCCATGATTTTTGTAAACGATATCAATATTTCAAAAATTATATTATATTATAAAATAATATTATAAAGCTGGTCCTCGGAAGCCGATGAAATGTGAAAAAATTAAGGCGCGTCTGATGATACGGACAGTGATTGTATGTAATCTGACGGATGAGAAATTAATTTTACAGACATCGTCGTTACAACCTTGCTTTAACAGTGATGACAGCTTCCTGCTTCCTCTGCAGATTGTATATGTAGCACGTGATGTCGAAACACTTCGCTGTGCCGGCTTTACAATTCTGTAACGCAACATCGTCCGTCTGTACCGCTTGATTTCAATGAAACCAATACCTATATTAAATTAGCGGAATTTCACCTGTAAACCCCCCACAAACTCGGTTGCATTTCCATTCGGAATTCGCTTTTCCGAATTTCTCCCTCGATATAGGAGATACAATGTACGCCGCTTTTAACCTTGGCCGAGACCTACCATCGCAACCACACGGTGTCGATGTCCGTCCTTGTCGACGATAGTCCGCGTATTCACCACTTTCTCCGTATCTCGCGTTGTTCTTACGTGATTGGTGTGGTTGTACAAAATCGGCGGTGAAGTTGAAGGCTGCAACATGTTGTCGACATCGTCGAAGTTGTCACTGTCCTGCAGCTTCAATGGATTAACTATGTGCCCCGGCGGCAGAGTGCACTCACCGTCCCCTAGAGCTAAATCATTTTACATTAAGCATTAAGCGAGATCCACAATGAGAATTTAAGCTCTGAGCCTTAAGAAATTGACCGATCACAGCCACGATTATTCTCCTCACATTTGACTGTGATCGATTAATTTCTTAAGGCCCAGAGTTTAAATTTTCATCGCAAACTTTAGACATGTTATCGGCTTTAATTGAAAGGAGACTGTTGGATTTTTTTGCATAATTAGTTTAAGAAAGTTTCAATTTCAAAATTTAGTCACCAAATTACAAATTAATTTCATATCAATAATACTGTAACGTTGACTGTGTATTTTAATATAAATATAATGAATCCCTCCTTCTCTTTCATAACGTGTGCGAAGCTCATATTAATTTAACGAGAGACCAATTCTCAAATTTTTACATCATATATTAGAATAACACGCTGTGTTCTCTCGCACTATCGTTTTTTTTCGCGGTACCTTGGATAGTCGGCAACTCCTCCATGTACAGCAGCCACTTGCCGTGCGCTTTGTCATTCGCCACTTCGTAAGGCCATGAGATGCGCACTTCCAGGGTGCTGACTTTCCACGGTCCCTCATTGAACACCTCGTAAATATGCGACACCTTCGGTCCTACTTCGTTCAGGTGTTTTATCGCGGACTCACCGACCACAGGACCACCGTAAAATGCCCACTGAGTCTTCGCGCTCCTAGAAGTTATCAATTTGACATCGGTTAACCTCGAAAGGGAAAGAGAGGGGGAGAGAAAGAGAGTCAGTTCCTTCACATAGAAAATATATCACCATAAACTGTTACAAGAAAAATAGTAAAAAAAAACTTTTGTCCTTTAATTTTATGCATTATTTTATCATTAAGAGGAATGATAAATTTCCGGTTGACTGAACATTGAAACGACGTTATAATTGTTACCCCTTAATCGAGAGTTCAGCGCGCTTCAGCACAGTCGCTTGCAACACGGCGGGTCTCTTGTCCTTGACCTCCCTCGACGTGGAATTGGCGAAGATCGTGAAGCCCAGCTGGGACTCGTTGTCTTCGAGGCCCTTGGGATCGAATCTCACTTGTATGTCCGCGGTTTTGTTCTTCTGGAAGGGATTGCCGATGGAGCACGACACCACGGTGGCATTGTACAGATTGCAGATCACGGAGTCGTTGCTCTTGCTGGCGATGTAGCTCAGGCTCTGCGAGTGAACGATGAACAGTTGAGCCTCGTATGCGGACTCGCCGATGTTCGCCACGTTCACCTCTACCACTATCTCCTCCCTCTCGCCCAAAAGTAGCTCGTAGAAATCCGGCTTTACGGAGGAAGCTGACGAGATAAGAGAATTCCAATGGTTAGAATGAAGGATCGCACGGGCATTCTTGGTATGTTTAGCAGCAAAAAGCTTCTACAGATCTTCCCAATACAGCGATTTCGTACTTGAATGTCGAAGAGAGCGCTATTAACTGAATTTCCGGCCAAAATTATGATGAATTATGAGAGAAGAAATTAAAGAGTATATATAAGTATATATAAGTTCACAAGTGTGGGAAGAGAAACCATCTTACCCGATAAATTTAGTTTCGCCTTCACTTGCAAATCGCTCTCGCAGATATCGTCATTCCCGCAGTCCTTCTGGAAGACCGCCTCGAACACACGAGCGGCCTCTTGCTGATTCAGTATCGGGTAATTCTTGATGTCGGGCAGAGCGGCGCCTTGGGGAGGCATGACCGGCTCTTCTTGTATCAGCGAATAATTCAGGCGGAATTTAATGGGAGACTGTATGTCACGCGTGTTTTCCTGGTAAACATCCGTGATAAGATTAGACGGACAGACAGATAGACACACACACACACACATTCTAAGAAGGCACAAGCGAAGTCGAAGAAATGAAATACAGTCCAATATTGGTAGTCAAGTTTGTAAAGGCGCAAAGGAAGACTACATTTCAGGAAGACAACAAATAATGCAAAATGCAAAGATCTCGCAATAACCGACTGCAAAATTCACATTTTCACTCACTTTCAGATAAACGACCTCCCTTTGGCAGTGTGTAAGTTTAGTGGTATCTAAGGTGACCGTTCGATTGATGTAATGGTGCCGCGAACTACCATCCGTGGCAAACCAAACCCTTGAGAATTTCTTAGCCCCGGCATAGGTCTCCGCTTCGATGTAATAGTTCAATTTTAAATTAGACTCCTCCTTCACCAACGATTCCGTCTTGCAGCAAGCCTCGAATGAAAAACTGCAAATTTCACCACATATAACGTCTCACTAATTGCAAATGACGATCGATAATTATTCCTGATTAATAATAATACTTATAGTCAATATCTATTAAATAGGAATTTCTACATATTCAGTGAATCATTCGGTTGTTACTGACCATGTGTAATTCGAGTCTGGATCGACCGGGCATCCAACTTTATTGGGATCGATGGGCTCCATCTTATCCTGATACGTGCCATCCTTCTTTTCGTAACGTACGTAAGTCGAGATGTCGATTATCTTCTTCGAACGGAGAAGCGCAATCGCATCGTCCTCGTAAGCACCGATCAAAAGATCCGAATAACCATTGTGGTCCATGTCGATACCTCCGCTTAGAGAGTAGCCAAACGTTTTCAATGGCGAGGGCAGATCCTCGGCATGTATCACCTGTGCATGGAACGATTCATATTGGTACACAGATACATAATCTAACTACGAGTAGAAATCGAAGGCACAGTGACATCGCCCTGATGAAAATATTATTCATTGTTATTCCGTCCAATATACGGTGGTTTTCAATTAAATTCAGTAAATTTCAACAGTATACTTCAACTTTCCTTATATTCGAGTACTGGTATACTAACGAACTTGATGAACAGTGAAATAAAAGTGACTGAAAAATAACCGAAACGCATAATAAATGTTTCAAAATAAGTCGTAATTTTCATCATGAAATTCGGTGTAATTCGCTGTGGGATATAATAAAAATTAAAGTACGATTCTGAAAAGTAATGAAAAAATTCTTGAAATATTAGACATCGTAAAATTCACCGAATCAAACCGAAAACTGCGCGTATCAATAAAATGGAAGTCAATTGGAGAAGGTATTTCAGGAAAAATATTTCCATCGTGGCGACCAAGAAGGTCCACTACCTGCGATGGCGTCTTGATTATGCCGTTCTTGGAGCCAAGATAGATGTAGACCGTCCCTTTCCCTTCGTACGGGGCGCCAATCGCCACGTCTTCGTATCCGTCTTTGTTGAGATCGCCCAAATTCGTGAGCGCGAATCCAAACCTATCGTGAATTTATTAATTCACCGTTGTACATGTTTAACACAACTCACGCGAATAATGTGTCAAGATCATAAAAAATCAACCTCGATTCTTCACGGCCGACGAGCTTGACGGGCAGACACCTCTCGTCATCCTTCGTGATTCGGCATACATCCAGCGCGGTATAGACATAGACAGCGCCGCCTTCCACCTTGTTGAAGTAAAACGGCGCCGCCACGATCAAATCGGTCAGTCTGGAACGATCAAACGCACGAAACAAGTGCACGTTTGTAATATGTTGATTACTTTAAAACTGATTAATTTAAAATAGTGGAACATACAGAAGATGTAGGCTACACGCAAGATATGTTAAACGCAAATATATCTCCTCACGCACTTGTCTCCGTTCACGTCTGCCGAGGTGATCTCGTATCCATAGCTCGAGGCGAACTGTTCGCCGTCGAGAACGAGGGTCACCTCCATATCTGGCTTGTAGTCGTATCTGGTGAATAAAACCACCTGCCCGGTACCGTTGGAACGCGGCGCACCCGCGGCGTAAGCCAGACCCTTGCCGAAGAAGTTGCCAACCGCCACGGACATTCCTGTAACCGCGTGCCAAATGTCGAGGCTTGCAAATCTAAAGAGAAGTTTCTCGCGCGAGAAGATGGGATCTTTGAGAAATGAGAGCGATTTTCCAAAAATTTCAAGGATCAAGTGCACACAATTATCTTCCTTACGGGGAAAAAGTAAATGTAGGTTTTAACCTAAAACGTTAAAAATTTTCCCGAACAAATTGTTTTAACCATCAGGGAGAGGAACCGAAAAAATTCGCGGAAAAATTGAAGAAATAACCGGTCTCGATTTTTTCTGGACAGTTGAAAACCAATTACGTACATATTACACCTACCGAGATAACTGTACTTATTCACGGGCGACAAGTCTTGCATCGGCGCGCTGTAAACTGTATTGTCACGGGTCAGGAATTCGTCCGACACGGTGAACAGATACACAGTGCCCCTCCAAGTGTGCGGACCTGGTGTGCCGATTAACACGCGATCATCCACAGTCAAGAAACCGCTGGTGCCAGCTTGACAGTAGCCGAACTGTTCGTGCGCTCTGGAAGTGTCGAGGAGAAATCTTACTTAAACCGATAGTTAGAACACATTATAAACATCATTAAATGGTAAAGTTATCAATCGAACGGCGATAACATCAGGGTAAAACTTAAAAAAAGTCAACAAAGGTGATAATTGCAAAACGACCATTTTGGAATGCGCACAGAACTTTTTTTTTTTTATGGTACTTCTCAGTGTGTATTAAGCAGAATCTATAATGAGAATCTGAGCCTTAAGAAATTGATCAATCACAGTCAATTATTCTCCTCATATTCGATTGTGATTGGTCAATTTCTTAAAGCTTAGATCTCAAAGAACCTATTATAGACCGAAACTTAGAGGAATATGTACTCGAAAATAAAAGTAAATATAAGTAAATATCAGTAGCATTACTTGTTCGTGGGCTTTCCGGAACATGGCTTTTTCAAATCATTATATTTCAAATCTTGAGTCAATATGTAACATTGGCCCTGACCCCATCGAGAGTCAAGCGTTTTGACGATATGCCGGTGTGCACATACCTGGAAATAAACAAGTTAACGAATCTCTGTGCATAGTATAACACAATTTGAGAAAAACAGAAGGGCGGTATTGTATTGACGTAAGACAAATTTATAATATTTTTTCCTTCAATACACGATAATCATCGCTTTTGTCATTCTCAACTTACCATTACTTTACCTCCCATCCCCTGACTGCGTACGGTAACTCCTAGCCATTGATTATCCTTTATCTCGTCCGGACCTGGTGGTACTAAGTCCTCTGACTCTATATCTGTAAAGAAGAGAGCAGTTAATAATCTAATTTCGTAAGCACGATCTCAAGAAAAACGTTTTAGGTACGACACTTCCGAACAGTTATTATTCTTTTAACATTCCTCAGTACTTATGTGATAAATGTGCCAAGTTGCAAATCGTTGTACAGTTGTTTCAGAAAAAATTTCTGAATATATTTTTCGGGCACTCCCGAGGTAAAAGGACCTTTAAATTAAGGATTTTGTACACATATTTCAATCAAAAATATTTTATTATCATAAACAGAGTCAAAGGCGATAAGAAAAATAAAGATATTGGAAGCAAGAGCAAATGGAGTAAAAGTTACATGAATAACATAATATAAACATATAATAAATATACATAATAGCTAAAATAAAATAGCTAATATTATATTGAAATAAGGTAAATAGAAGTAAATAAATCACAAGAAACATATATTTTCTCACATTGAAAAATTAGTGCATTATGTTAGTATAGTTTTATGAATATAAAAAGTTCTAATGTTCTCGATTAATTAAATAATTGTTCAGAATTTTGGTCATATAAAGGCAAGATATTGTGTTAATTACATTATGCGATGATCATGCAATATGAGTGCAAATAAAAAATGCATTTTATAAAAAGAAACAAGGGATTGGACGATAATGTTAGTAAAGAATGTCAGCCTATGTTTATTGCGTAAAATTGCTATGAACAATTACATAGTTATATAAGCTATTGTTAATGTTATCATAATTGCCAGTAAAACAGTCGCAAAATAACTGTTCAATCTTATCCTATGTTATTCGGAAGAAGCTTCCATAGCAAAAGGATTATCATACGATAAATCTTTTCAGGGTGATAAAATGTTTAATCGCATGCTTTCATTCATTTGCTCCTGGATATTCTAATTCAAGGAGAAATATATGCAATATAGGTGGCAAACTGCGTCAAAATTGTGAAAGTCTTCATTCAGTTCATTCTGCAAGGACTCTGCTGAAATGTTTGCGCACTTACTTGAATCGTATAATTCGTATTCGTACGGTCTGAATAACAGACCATCGCCCTCTGGTTTACCGTAACATGATTCAACAAAAAAGTATCTTATTATACATAACACAAAATTGTCTGATAATTAAATAAATATAAGGTAACTAAAATCGTAACCGAATAAATTTGACCACATTAAATATTTTTTTAAATAGTTCGTGATACAAAGAAATTTATTTTACAAATATTCAATGATATAGCAGGATATATTATGATAACTTCTTATGATATATTCCCTCATACTATAATACTTCTGTTAGAAATGAATTTTTATGTAGTATTATTTTAGAGAGAGAAAGATATATATACACATATATATATATATATCTTTCTCTAATATATGTATATGTATATGTGTATATATAGTTTCATCTCATATATGCTATATTAATATAAAAATAGAATTTTTGAAACTATATATTATAAAACATAAATATATACAATATTGTAGCTTAATTAAACGTATTATTATTGAACATAATTTTTCTGAAAGTATTGTGGCAAATTATTATGTTCTGACAATATTACTATAAGTACATTTCAAGTTATCACAATGAGAATACAGCAATAAATATATTCAAGTTATCACAATGAGAATACAGCAATAAATATATGAAAAACATACTCAATCGTCCATCAGTAATGACTTGAGTACAATCTTCTGTATAAGTCGTCAGCGGACACTGCCATAACGCTCCTGATCTGTTTGTTCCAGGTTGCTGATTCTGGCCTAGAGGTGCACCCACTAGCATCCTACGCGAAGAAGTTTCTCAGAATATCGGATAAGCCAGAATTAATTTCTCCGAATGCCAACAAAATACGTAAAACCAAAAATCATTATCAAAAGAATCATCACAATCTGTTTTAAAAGAAAGCAATGCATCAAGTCTTAACGTTCAACAAGTACCACACAAACTTAGCGAAACTTCTCTCCAGTTGATTCTTCAAAATACACACAAGAAGTTTGACAAACAAAAATTGAAGCTGGTTTACATTAGTCATTTGAAGGAAGGTCTCACTAGGTTTGTGTAGTCGAATGTTAAGACTTGATGTATCGCTTCTTCTTGAAACAGATCATGACGATTTTGCCACAATTTTTGTTCTTATGTATTTGGTTGGCATTCAGAAAAAAAACATTAACAAGTTTTCTTCCCCGAGAAGAATAGCCTACCAACTCGTGGGCTTCGGCGTTTGAGGCTTGATTTCTTGGTGTTCGGCCACCGAGTAACCGAAATAGGAGCCCTTCAGTCCCCGTTTGATAACAGGTATTCGTGGTTCCAGATTAAAGGCATGCGTAACGCACACACTCAGAGCTAACCACAGACACAACGCGTTCACCATCGTCGCTGTTCTTATATATATATGTATATACATATATATATATATATTTCACCGGCGATATCGCGACGTTTCTTTCGTTCGCCGATTCTCTCTGCGCGAGAACTACCACTATCGTGTGATTCGTCCCTTTGCCACCATCACAATCAGCTATCCACTATCGCACAATAGCTCACGCACTCTTTTTACATTTTTGAAAATACATAACCCACCCACACGTCGGGCGTACTTTCACGAGGCTCGGTGTGATTCATGGCGTTGGACGATCGTCCATCTTCGGAACGAAACCGTCGCAATCGCACTGCCTTCAGCGCACTCTGACAGACCACGGTGTGAGTTACATCAATATGGCGTGCCTCCCGGTAATTACGAACGGTTCTTACCTGTGTTAAACTACTTTAATGAAACATTGTTCTCTCTTAAATGCATCTAATGACATAGCAACCGATGTCAATGCTATTTTATTTCTTAGTTCCCGAGAGTTTCTGAACCTTGTTTCATCGATAAAAATGCATCTGTTGGCCTTAAACATAAGCCTTAATGTCTCTACACAATAGGTATTTTAAGCCTTTAGCCTTAAGAAATTGACCAATCACAGTTAATTATTTTCTTCACATTTGACTGTGATTGGTCAATTTCTTAAGGCTAAAGGCATAAAATACCTATTGTAGGCCTACACTAACCAGAACTGAGAAAGAGAGAGAGAGAGAGAGTTTGATAGCTTGACCCCAGCGACATCACCTGAGTCCGACACGGGAATTTAAAAACCGCGCTATAACGTAAACTGTTGCATGTGTGACCGGTGAATCTATAAATCGCAATATCGCGAAGAGCCTCATTCTTCAAGCAAATAAACGTGATGCTCGCTGAATCTGGCAAATATTGGATAACAAAGGATAACAAATGTTGGATAACCCGCTGTTAATCGGTGTTAATCGAACGCTCCGACGAAAACTGCACACGAACGAATCCGCTACCGATTACATTCGGATGAGAGCGTGTCCTTGACAATTAGCGAGGTATCGGGAAGAAATATATCTCGGCAGGATGAGCGATTTGATAGATTTGAATAGTCCCGACGTGAAGAGGTCGGTAAATCCGAAGCTGTCGTCGCCTCTGATTCCTGCGCCCGGAAACGTCGCGTTCAACGAGCAAGCCGGCTCGTCGTCGACGAAGGAGAGATGCGAGAGCCTGGGTAGCAATCCGTTCGACAACCTGTTGCACGAGACCGTCGAGTACATGAAGAAAAAGGGCGATCCCTTCGAGGTGATGCTGCAGCGAGCCTTGAGGTGCAAAAGCAACAGGAGCAGCGAGCTGAAAGCGCAGTCTGTTATCTTCAGCGATGATTCCACCCCGAGACGCAGAAAAAAATTTCTGAAGATAAACAAGACGCTGGACGAGTCCCTGATCGAAGAAAACAAAACCAGCTCGACCAGCAGAGAGAGGCAGAAAGAAATTGCCAGCAACCTAGCTGCGAGTAAGTAAATATTGATGTCTGCAATAGCAGTAATGTAGCGAAAGGTGAGAAATAAAATAACTTCTGAATATAGATCAGCTTGTCGATTTTGGATTAATCTATGAGTGAATCGTGTTGGAAACTGGCGTAAGAAAGGTGATAAAATGTTAATCCTTTCAGGAAAAGATGCTTTGTCCAAGGGATTCCTTCGTTCTGCAAATTCAACTTTCAAGCCACATAGTGATCTTCCACGTTCGTTATCGCAAGCTGATAGAACATCACTGAGAAAATCACAGTGTTCAGATAGGAAGTCACAGTCCGTAACAGATACCTCAACAATTTCACGAGTTTCACAAAGTAACAGCAGTGCATTGTTGTCCTCCTCGAACAGAGTTTTCTTAGAGAGCAAGCAGAGTCAGCGGTCTGTATTCCTCGACCTGTCGGATGTTTCTTCCACCGCAAGATTGAATTCTGTCTCGTTAGTGTCGAATCTGTCGTCGGTGTCGTCAAGTGGCGTTTTAAAAAACGCTTCCTTGGATAGCGGTTTTACAAAGACGAGCAATGAAAAGATAAATGCGGCTGAGAATTCTACAGAGGTGAAGTCAATCCAGAGCGATTTGTCTGAGCTAACAGAGAGACACACTTTAAATTATGGTATCCATGGAACAAGCAGTATCCTGAGTTTGAAGGAAGAGACTGATCAGTCTAATTCTATGAATAGGGAAAACATGGAACAAACTGCGAATAACAAATTGATAGATATCGATGTATTCATGCTGGAATCACGTTTGAATAAGAAACACAATAAAAGCATGAATTCTACTGGTAGCTCTTTGGATTCTGTGTTCATCGTAAGATTTTTACCATTGTTATACACCGGATTATTATAGGATATTTCAAATACTTATATTTAGTACTATTGAATGTTTGAATATTTTTTTTATTCTACCGTGTAATTTGTGATTTATTTGCACTTAATATTACAAGAATTGATTAGCAATTATACAAGACAGAGAACACCTCATCATAGTAAAAAAAGAGAAATTTTGGACAAATTGGAAGAAAGATACTGTTAATCTTTTCAAAATCTTTTTTTATACACAATAAGCTTATCAGTTTAGAGAGGGGAATGATTTAAGTTCTAAAAGTAACTTATATTTAAGATGCAAGTAACTTAGGCTGTTTCATAATAAATATCAAGGTCAAAATTTTATACTCACCGATGTTTTTGATTTCATGCTTTTGTTGAATTAATTTTTTTCTCCCGATTCTTCTAGTATCAAACTAAACGTTGCGTCCCTTAGAGGTGTTTCCTATTCTTAGTATAATCACTAATTGATTACAGATACGGATAATCTCGTAGAATCAATTTCTAAATTATTTCATAATAAGACAAACGATTGAAATTAAATGCAGGACAATAGCAAGGTCGACAAGTTAATACTGAATGAAGCTAAGGCACTATCGAGAATTTTCACGGAACTAAGTCTAGAAGTAAATTCTGTATGTGAGTAATTTACATCAACATTTACAACATGACTATTGTAAACGTGTATATAACTTTGATAGCAAGTTGTCACTTATACTTTATCATTTCTCCTTCCCAGCTGGTGGTACGGATGATCTGATTTCGAATGATACTCTGTGGATGTCGGAATTACTGCCAGCATTTGAGGACGAGTTCGAAGATAACTTAATCGAACTACCGGTCTCGCCGGAGAAAAGCGTGAAGAACGACAAGAGCGACCAAGATCCTAAGCAATCTCCCGCAAGCATCGTTGATAACGCGGGAGAGGTTTTTCTGAGGGAGATAGAGTCGCAATTGGCCGATCGCGCTTCTACCGGGAAGCGGACGATCGTGGCTACGTTGTTGTCGGATCTCAAGAGGCTGGTGAGAGCGGACGATAACCGGGAAGTGGGTAAGTTGATCGACAATCTGGAGAGCGCCTTGGGTGTGAGACATAAGAATAACGCGGAACTGTTGGCGAGTCTGTCGAATGAATTACGAACTTCCGAGAGGTCGGACGACGACAAGTTAGATAATACCGAGCGATCGGCAAGTGTGTTGTGCGTCAATGGGAGTCAGGAGGAAAGCACGAAGATGTCGTGCGAAGAGAGAGTCTGTGATAACAAAGGCTCGTTACACACGCACACAAGTCACAAATCGGGAGACACGTCGCAGGCTACGACCGTCAGCAGTGACGACTCGTTGGCCAGAGTTTCGCCTTGTAACAATAACGAGAATCGTCGTCTCGATATCAGGACCTCATCCGAGGCGACGTTAGGTGGTTTCACCAAAGATAAGAGCAATCAGCCGGACGAGGAGTTGGCGGTAGAATTGTTGGTGAATCTCGGGAAATTGTTACGCGGTCAGGCCGAGGACACGACGATCTTACGATTGCTTAAGAATATAGGAAAGGCGTTGAACTTGGCGTCGAATAATTGTAAAGTCGAAGGCGAATCGGCGCGGACGGACGGCGAACTGTGCGATGATGATCGACGAATTCCATCCCCCTCGGAAATTTCCCCGGAATCTGAACGCAGTGATGCGCGTCCGGCCGGTGCGATAGAAGCTACGCATGAACGGAGCTTCAAGTCTCAGGTAAATGAATCTCCGCTGTTTCTCATAACTTCGATTCCATCCTTTTACACATATTTTCAGTCACTCGAAGGAACAAGAAAAAGAGTGTCTATAGTTCGACGTGTCCATTCGTCGAACGCAGACACGTCGAACGCACAGGTAAACGCAAAAGGTAAAGGCATGTTTGAATTGAAGAGTCAGAAACGTTTCTCATACAATCTCGAGCTTGAGAATATCAGGGCGAATAAGAAGTTCTCAAGTTCAAGAACGTCGAATACGAAAATAGGTGCGTTGTTCTACTTATTAGACACGAGCTGTTATTTGTAATTATTTCTTTCAAAGGAGACTTTTTTTTTTAGAAATCTTTTTAGAGATAATTAAGAGTGTAATGCACGTGTGTATATTCCAGCGGAGACTGCAGAGCTCGATAACAGGAGCAAGAAACCATTGGCAATAATTGACATCAGGAACAAGCTGAAGAAGAAATCAGATATGGTTGGCAAAAGCGGCCCTGTGAAAGCGATGCATCTTGTAGGCACGATGCAAAAGAAAGGTAAGAGCTCGACCTGCCAACAATGTTCGAGGGAATCGCAATGGAAGTTTCAGTTAACAACTTTTCTGCATATTATTTATTATTTCCATATATTAATCTACAATCGTCAACATATAGTTTGTAATTCCCAATTAGGAGAACAATTTGTAATCGCCGACAAGTTGGTCAATGTATTTTGCTAATCGATAAGAAATCCCGGATTTATTTTATCTTCGTTTTCACTTGAAACGGCAGTGTCACGCGGGAAACAAACGGCATCGTCCTTTCAAGCCACCACGCCGCCCAAGTCCAACGCCGCCGCGTCCTTCGGCAATAAAATAATTAGCAGTACTCCTAACTCAGCGACGTCGTCGACGCCGGATAATCGGGAAGACGGGACGAGATCGAGGATGCAGTTCAAGTCCACCGATAAGAAACGTAACTTTTCGTGCGATATCTCGCCGGTGTCCAAGCGGAAAGGAGGCAGTCCCAGGAGGTAAGGCAAACAGAACGAGTATCTCTACCAGCTATCTGGTATATATTTATTTATTATCGGGAACAGAGAAATCAAGATCTGCGTATTGCACGATTGAAACATAAAGAAATTGCATCGAAGAAATCATTTGCGTTTCAGATCTGTCCAGCCGCCACCGCCGTCTGCGAAAATATGCACGCCGAAACGTCAGCGAGCAAATTCGTCCGGCATCCCGAAGTACTGCACGCCGCCGAGAAAATTCAATTCTTCACTTGATACAGGTCGTCATCAACAGTCTCCGCAGTGTTTGAACAAAAGTTTGTCAAGCTGTCCACAAAGGTATTCCCCGGTCTGCCCGAACAGCGCCGAAAAGTGTCTACAGAGTCCTCTCAAGGAAAGCAACAAGTCCTTTACGAAAGTGAAGCCGTTTAAGTTGGTGAGCGTTTTGTTTTGTCACACGACGGATTCGTCGCCTCGTTGGACTAATTAAGCTTTGCATTTGTATCTGTACATACAGATCTCGAAACTTAAGGAGATTACCGCCGGTGATCTCACGGAAAAGGAGAATTACTCGCAGTGAAACGACGTGATGATGGAAGCAACTGAACCAGTGTGCATCGATTGTCCAATAGAAATATATATATATAGATGGAAAGAAAGAGAGAGAGAGAGAGAGAGAGAAAATGTATGTGCGTGCGTGCGTGCGTGCGTGCGCGCGCATATGCATCATAAAGAATCGAATATACCATAAAGAATAGTCGTAAGAGATATTTTTTAAATTTCTTATAATATTTATACGTTTTACAATAAGATATGCAAGTATAAAATGCAATTTCATTTGTTGAGAAATTATATGAGTCTCATTCCTTCTTAGAGTCTGCATTTTCGCAAAAATTTTTTCTATCGTATATCTGAAAAAGATATACGATTATTGAGTCGATGAAAACATGACAAAAAGTAATCTTTGCAGCAAATTTGGTTACATTATTTTTAGTCAAGATATATAAACTTCTCCGAACGGCTTTGCTCATTTTTCTAGGATGAGTACTTTTATTTTGACGTAATTAAATTTAAACGGGAAAGCAGGAGCAATTTTTTTTTAGATCTCCCCTTCTCTGGTATCTACAAGAACCATGGACGTGTCTGTACATTACCGATACGTCTGTCATCACTTTGCCCGGTAGCCTTAGCACAACTCATTGGTAATCAGTGGTTGTGACAGCTTATTGTCTCATTGACGCGCGTAACGTCAAACGTTTGACGTCCGGGCAGCAGGAAATGCCGGCTTCGTGTTCGATAATGTCGCGGATTTCGGCCGTCAGTAGCGATCGTTCGACGAAGACGTCGAACGACCTCACGTCGTCGTTCACCGAGCTTTTCTTCACCGATCGCAATGATCGACGTTACTGTGAAATTCAATTCCAAAAAGTGCATCCGCTCCGATAAATTCGCCGCAACGTTTCACTCAATTTTTAGTTCGGAAGAAGTTACAAAGTGTAATAAGAAAATTCATATTCTCAACAATTAAATAATTATCAATCCGGAAAAATTAAATAGTAACAAATAAGATTTTGTTTATTATATTATTGTGTGTGTGTGTGTGTGTGTGTGTGTGTGTGTGTGTGTGTGTGTGTGTGTGTAGTGCCAGTAAAGACTGAAGTAATGTGAATTCGTGATGTAAATAATCTATTTGGGCCGTTCTTGTCGCGAAGATATTAGGGAATGACAATGGGAGAGAACAATCGTTGAGGTTTTGCGTATCTTCGTATTTTCACGTGGAATTGAGGAAGAAAGACGATTTACTCGAATCTTTCGTGCAAAATCGAGGCTCTGACATCGCACTGAGTAAGTAATTAAAATTTGAAATTGTGTGTGTGTGTGTGTGTGTGTGTGTGACACTATATATAGACTCTTCAAAAATATATCGGTTAAAATAAATTCGAAGGCATATTTTTTAGCAATGACATTAAAAGTCATAAACATTTTCAATCAAAATATAAAAGGTAACTCCGATTAAAAGTACTTCTACCTTTTATTGGCTGAGTGTACAACTAAAATAGAACCTTTAACATCGATCGCCACCCTTGAAGGGGAAGATTATGGTGAACGGTCCCGTCATGCTATCTAATCACGAAATCGTTACTCTGTCACCTGTTTCCGCGCGGTCGTTACGACGGGAGCTTACAGCTTTCGATATTCTTATTCTATTTATCTAATTATCTATTATTCCGGAAAGTTGATTTACACTTTCGTCGTATTAAAGCATGCAAATTCACAGAGAGAAGGGTCGCCACTTAATCAAACAACGAAATCTGTTACCGATATATATTATCATCATTACTATTGCAATTATTTGCCATTACGCGGCGCAGTATCTCTACCCAGTCCTTGGCCATATCATAAGAAGCACTTTGATTTTTTAATAGAATACGGATGAGAAAGAGAAGAAAAGCTATTGATTTTATTCTTAGACTTACTCGATTAGAATAATTCTCTATGTCAATCAGCGCTTTTACCTCCGCAACCTTCAACCTCGTCAACAATGTTAATGCATTTTTTGAAATAACATTTTCCTATTAATACTTTGTGTGTATATGTATGTGTAAGATTTTCCTTCTCCGTAATGAGGATTGTTGTTTTTTCCTCGCAGGTTCTTCAACTTGCTGTTTCAACACGGCGGGAGAAACGCGAGAAACGAGATAAACGGCGCTTTCGTACAGCTGGACGCAATAGTTTTCTCCGTATATATCCCGACACTGCTTATTGGATTCCTCGCGAAACTCTCGTCTCTCTCGCGCGATATATATATATATATATATATATATACACACATATACGAAAGCCACCCCCGTCACGTTCGATCCGGCCGGCTGCGACCGCCCGTCGAGGAGAGAAAAGCCGCGCGCAACCGCGCAATTGATACTCCCGCACGTGTTCTCCCGCTCTCCCGCAGATTGATCCCGCGAGTATGCGGCCGCCGGTCGCTGTTTGTGTTTCTCGCACATAGTCAGTGCGCCGAGTCAGTGTGAGCGTAACCCGCCTGTCTCTGTGTGAGTCACGATTTACCTGTCGTGACACCTGCTGCATCCCTCAAAGCTCCTCCGTTCCTCCCTCGTTCTCTCTACTCTCTCTCGCCGGCCGCTATCACGGTATGCTAATTACGATACGCTCGTTATAGGTACAGCCGTACATACAGCTCGTTTAATCAAATATTACCCGGCTCATCGGCATTTTTTCCTGTAAATAATTGGTGAAAAGAGAAAAAAATATGAGGGGGAACATCGAGACTGGATTTGTCCTGTCTAAAATTTCATGAATCCGCTGCACGATCGGTAATTCGCAGATATCAAAGAAAAGTATACGTTTGTGAATATATTGCACGATGAAAAACGACTATTGTACTCGAATCTTTCTTACATTTGCTTTGCATATATACGGATATATGCGCCATTGTTGTTATTATTCAAAATATTATTTTCGTTAAGTACCGTTTTTCGTGTTAATAATCCAGGAAGAAAAAGATCATATGTGAAATTTGCCCATGTATGTCTATATATAATCATACGTGTCCACGATGGAAAATATTGTTGTTTACAAATTATATGCAAATCAAAGTAAATGCTTCTAGCTACTAGCGCTTCTGACAGCATACGATATCGACATTTAAATAAATAATTTAAATAACGTCATTTTTTTTTATAAACATATATATGATCTAGTATGTAACCACATATATGGGCAAAATTCATACGTGATTTTATATAATTATATATAATCATATATAATCATTTTCTCCTGGATTATATCGACGACATAATATAAATATTTCTATCTTTATATATATTTTTATTCCACACATATATATATAGTGGTGCGAAAAATTTAACAGTACTCATGATACGTGTTTAATCGCGAGTAAACAACCTACCAGTAAATGTGGAGCGAACTTTCGATCGTAGCTGGCCGATTAAACGCAATACCAATTTGCGACTGTGTAGTACAAACCGTAGTCACCGTCCCAACGACTCAACCTAATTAACTAAAACAACTAACCAGCCGGACAATTATAAGCGTATTCCATTATAGAGCCGCACGAGGCGGATTCAGCGAATCTTATTAGCTAACAGCTACAAGAAAACCGGGTAAATTGCAAACAGGGCCGAATCTCAGTCCTAGCATGTTATGTTTCTTTCTTTTTCTTTTTTTAATAACGCCCGATTCTAAAAAAAAATGGCAGTCTTTTTGTTCTACATAAATTTCTCCACGCTGATTTATAATTAGTAAATTCTCGGGTCAGTTTGAACAGTTGATTTTTCTCTAGGAATTCATAATCATTCGAGCACTTTTCTGACTGAAAGTTATTACAAAAGCACAATAATGAATTGAAGAATAGAATAAAGATTCTCAAGATCGAGCACTATTTAGAAGATATAATAAATGCGCTTTCAATTTCAGAAATTGACTTGTATGATCGGTCACAAAAGATCACGACGTTTTTCCCGGCAAGTTTCATAGCAATGCATCTCGTATCCGATAAGAATGTGTATCTCCCGAGGATAATTGAGAAATAAATTCCTCCATTGAGCACGAGATGTGCTTCGAAACTAATAAGAAGAAATATCGCAACCTCTTTGTGACCGACCGTAGCACCTCCAGGAATGCCCGTTTTCATCTCCCGAAGTCGGACAAATACTCTCCACATGTTTTTTCAAATTTTTCCCGCTTGGAAACGGCGTGACGTCTTCTCCCTGCGATTTTCCTCCTAATTTCGCGTCAGAAAAATTTCGACGCCTAATGAAAGTCCGACCCTGATTACAGGTACGAGGGAGACGAAAGGGGGCGGAAGAAGGACGGGGAGGAGTACGTGCGTACTTGGCGAGGAGGGATCGCCCCTGGAACAGCCTAAATAGATCGCGGGGGAAGGAGATGGAACGAAGGAAGAGGGATCGTAAGGAACGAAGGAAGGAAGAAGTGGAGGGGAGACGTAGACGAGGCTGAAAATTTGCAGAAGCCGGGTGGGAGATCGTATCGAATCCCTCCGATTATCCCGGTGCACTGGTGCCACCGGACACATGATTCCGCGTTTCGCGAAATGTGCTTTATGCCGGCATCCAGCCGGTGATTCGTAGTCGATCTCATCTCCGCCGGTATATCCTTGAAAGTCCCGCCGAAAGTCCGGCAGCTGCGAGACCTCCGCGAGATCCGGAAGAGAGTGCCTTCACCGTCGAACGAACAGCACTCGGTGAAGATATACTCGGGGTTTGTCAAGACTGCAATAGGTAATTCCGATCAGAACCTATTCGTACACGGCGGATAATCGGCTAAGTAATGAAATAATAAAAATGACTGCAGACACGCGGTGATTTTTGGTCGCTGGCAGAGGGAGAACTTTTCCGCTCATTAATCGATTTTGATTCCTCACCCGGGAAAAAATGATTATGTATGATTATATATAATTATATAAAATCATATATGAATTTATGTGGTTATATATATGATCGTATATGTTTATATGAAAAAAATGATGTTTAATTAAATGTCGATATGATGTGCTGTCGGAAGCATTTATTTCGATTGTATTTGCATATAACTTGTAAGCAACAATATCTTTTCGTTGCAGACATATGTGATTATATATAGTCATGGACAAATTTCATATATGATCTTTTTTTTTCTCCGGGTGTGGACATCGTTTTTATCTTTCATCGTTCTCTATCTGCTACAAGTCTCGTTGAATCAACATTGCGATCATTAGATGAATAATCTTCACGAGCGTTGTTGCCGGAAAATTGCATTTTTTCAGAGATTTGATCGGAGAAAAATTTTCCTCTTTAAACAAAATTTCACGTTACTCGCGTGATATTCATGGTAAATTTTTCTCTTAAAAATGGGATGTGCGCGTGTGATCGTTTTTATCTTTTTAAGCGTCGTTTTTCATCGCGCGTCGTTTTACACGCGTGGAAGACGCGTCTTGCAAAATGCAAATCTTCGATCAGTGCACAGAGTCAAGCCGAGTGACTCCGATTTATTCGATCGGGTGTTTATTTCAGGATATTTTTCTAGTGACTCTATATTTTGCCGAAAGTGCCTCGTATAAATAGAAGTGCAGATGCGGCCGCGCAACTATCCCACGTGGCGCGCGCGCGCGCGACATCAGTTGCGGATATTCGCCAGATTCTTCTTCTTCTCTCGCGCTCGCGCGAATTCGTATTTCGCACATATAGAGTATCTTGGTGTGATTAAAGGTCTATGATTGAAATTTAGCGTAGGGTAGCGAAAGCAGGACAAGGGATCGAAGAAGCGATGTCCTTCGGTACGATATCATCGGATCGTTAAAGCGAAGGGCAAACTTACTTCATAGAGGTGACTTTTTATTGCGTCTGTCTATCTGTCTCGCAATTGTTTGGGCAAACGCGAAACATTATTCATGATTCAAAGTCGAAAGTTATATCCGCCGTTTATTAAGCGTTTTTGCATCTTTCTGCCGCAAGTTACAGTCAAGAATGTGTCGCCCATTAGTGCCATATTTTCAGTGACACATCAAAGAGGCTGCTCGTAAATTTAGTATTTATTGAGAAAAATTACTTTCCTATGCATTTATTTCACTACCTAAATAATAAATGTTAATTTTCAGTAGCGATATTAGTCGCTACATAAGCTGATTATTTATTGAAAAAGAGTATTTTCCTATAACTTTACTTTTAACTATTTAAGTAATAAATATTCACTTTGAGCGCGACATTAAGACAAATATGCACACGCAATATTACAAACACGGAGATATGATTTATTTTTTATTCTTCTTATTAATATCTCATTTACACGTCAACTAAGCTAATCGAGATGCATATATAATAGAAAATAGTATATAAATGCTTAAATATTTTAATGTACGTATGTGCATACATATCGCAGATACTATAAATTGTAAATTCCTCATGGCTCTAAATTAGTCCTTAATATCAGAGTAGCTTTCCATCGTAATCCTAAATGTGGTTTAGGAGAAGTTAAAAGTAGAAATTAAAAATAGGACATCTTCAAAGAGTGCAAAAAACATACAAATGCGAAGGAATTGTCATCATTAGTTGCAAATATTTCGGCTACCGAGTGATCAATCGTTTTTTAGCTTTACAGACTTCGTAGATAGACTTTCCGTCGATGTGCAGTGAAAAATTTAAAAGGATTCCGCAGAAAATGGTCTGAGGGACCAAACTGCCTTGACACGTGCCCAAATGCTGGAACGTTGAGAATGCATTTTCGACTGACGAACGAGCGAGTCGCTCGAGAATACATTATGTCGAGGCGGCTTAACTAAATCAGCGACGCAGGGTCATCGGCGAGCCGATGTACGTGAGCGAATTCGCGAACAGTCCAATAATAACCGCGCTTACTTACCTGTACGGGAAGTTGATTTTAATTCAGATAAAACGCCGCGCACGAGCGCCCATTCTTTTAGTGAGCGGGGTCAGTAATCATCGTGATCGGGGTACACGATGAGTGTCGCGAGGTGTATCATCGAAATCGAGAAGATCGTCGGACATTGCAAACGCCTTGATATTCGCCAGATACATCATTTTTTGTGAATGCGCTTTCGACAAGAATATATCCCGTCACGTTTACACAGTCATATAGTCGACATTGTGTATGTTGTACTCCTAAGCGCGTAATATTCCGAAAATATTACGTGAATATTATTCAATATTAAAATAATATTCTTATAATATTCTAAGAATGTTATGTAATACTTTTTTAATATTATAGGAACGTTCTATTGATGTTATATGTCGACATTATCTATTAATATTCCAGAAATATTACTTAATATTAAATAATATTACTTACCGCTTACAGGGATCATTCCCTAGGAATTGTTTACTACTACATGATTTTTAGTGTTCTACGCTGCTTCATACATGCCTTACCATTCCCCACATCAAGGGATTACACAATTTTCCAGCTTACACATGTATCAATCATTCTTCATATGATCGATTCGTTAGCAGCGAGGGAACGCATGCCGCGAGAATTCTTGCGGTATATGTTCAAATAAAAAGATACTCGTAAAAGTGACATTTGTCGTCGGCTCAACTCATTTGTAACATATTCCGAAATACTTTCTTCTCGCTCTAATAATTAATAAATAAGCGTAAAATTAATGTGACATCTTCACCTTTTAAACTTATCTTTTTTTCTTATGATTTTGTTACGTTAATTTTACAAATTTGTAGCTTCAAATTTCACTTTAGATCGCTCCGCATCACTTTCTTTGCGCTCCCTTTTATTTATATTTGCGCGCGCGCGATGTTCGGTCAAAGGTGAAGAATTAAGTCAATTTCAAGGAAGAAGAAAAAAATAGATAATCCAAATGTATTATTATTAACTCCAGGTTGAAAATTGTTTGCTGAGTTGCTAGCGAGACTCGCTTTGTTCGGTTTTCAGTAGACGTTAGAATTCATCTGAGGAAACATGTACGGACTAATCCTGGAGAATTTGGCCGAATACATCAGGCAGGTTTACGGCGAGGACAGGTGGGAGGAGATCCGTAGGCAGGCGTCGGTGGACCAGCCGAGTTTTAGCGTTCACCAGGTCTATCCAGAGAATTTAATACCACGATTAGCGAAAAAAGCGATTCAGGTACGGCCAGAGCGATAGTTCCTTCTCTCTTCGTCAGAATACGCGACTGTGTCTCACGTCAGATTTCCTCAAGCGATGCTTTTCGCAGAGGTACAGTCATTAATACACGAATGTGCTCGCTTCATCAGGTGCTCGGTGTGACGGAGAAAGAGTTCTTCGATCAAATGGGAGTGCACTTTGTAGGATTCGTCGGCCAATACGGTTACGATCGCGTACTCTCGGTACTCGGACGTCACGTGAGGGACTTCCTCAACGGTCTGGACAACCTTCACGAGTACCTGAAATTCTCTTATCCGCGAATGCGAGCGCCTTCGTTCATCTGCGAGAACGAGACTCGACAGGGTGAGATTCCATCCACCGTCCTCGTAAGCGCGCATTCGCGGGTTTGAGTCTCGATGAATTTTTTTCTTCAAATTAGAATGCAACTTTTATATAAAATAATTCTCATCACGGGTTTATACATTTCGTCTATTTATTTTCTATTAAAAATGCACATTCTTTCTTTTTTATATTCTGCTTTAGAAATTCGCTTTCGGAATTGCTGTCTATTGAAAATAAAGTTACATGAAAATCTTTGCATGTGGGTATGTCAGAATATTACAAATAATTTGACTTTTTAAGTAATTGAATAGATTTAAAAAATAAACGATAAAAAACAAATTGTTAACCACTGAATCGGAGCGTTGGGCCGGTGAATGTGTAGGTTTAACTCTTCACTACCGGAGCAAACGCCGTGGCTTCGTCTACTACACGATGGGTCAGATAAGGGAGGTGGCGCGGCACTTTTATCACAAGGAGCTGCAGATTGAGCTGGTGCGCGAGGAGGTGCTGTTCGACACCGTGCACGTAACTTTCCAGCTCACCTTCGACAATCGGGCCTTCACGCTCGCCTCGCTCGCGATGACCCGTGAGGAGAAGCACCTGCCGATCGGCGCGTGCGTCCTCTTCGAGATATTTCCTTTCTGCATCGTTTTCGGGTGTGTGTGTGTGTGTGTGTGGTACCTGATAATTGAGAAACGCTTCAAAATCCTCAGCAAAATATTACGTGGTTACAAATTAATTCGGTGCCTTTTTTCACGAAATTCAAAGTTTATTTACAAAAAGTCGGGTACGAGTTTAATGTTCGAAATAATTTCCATTATTTTCCATGACTATCGTAGCGCTTCTTAAAGCTTAAGGTTGGCACTTTCAAATCATCATATATAGGATGGGGAAAAAATTTAAATTTAAACGGAGTTACGGGACATTAAATGCAAAGGCACCGAATTAATCTGCACACCTAATACAGTACTTTGACAAAGAATTTGTGCGACTGATGAATGTCTGCATTTCAGTTCGGACATGGTGGTCAGGAGTATCGGTAATTCACTGATGGTCATACTGCCGGACCTCGTCGGCAAGAAGATCACGTACTTCTTCGACTTGGTTCGACCTCTTATCGCGTTCAAGTTTCAGTCGGTTAGTTCGATAAGCGATTTCCGATTTCATTTTGCCTGAGAGATCCGTCCTTCATAATCAGCATTTTGTCTGATAAGTTTGAGTATATTTCAAGCAAAATTAACAGCTGATTCCGCGCGATTTAGATACTGAACCGGACGAACAATATCTTCGAGCTGGTCACGGTCGAGCCGGTTCTTACGGAACGATTGAACGATCGGCACAGAAACGAGATCTTCCTGAGCGACGAGCTCGAAACTGTGGAAGACAAAACTCTACGACTGAAAGGTATAGATTTGTCCTTTTAGTTAGTTCCTTTTATTAGTTTAATTTTCTTTCCATTGCTGTATTTAGCTTTCAGCTAGATTAACAAGAGACGTTAGCCTGCCTGTTTCAACGACTCTTTTCAGGTCAAATGATATATATGGACAACTGGAAGATGATGATGTATCTCGGCACACCCGTCATGCCCGATCTGAACGCTTTGATAGCAACAGGCCTTTATATAAACGATCTATCGATGCATGACTTCAGCCGGTAAGACATTTTTCAAATGTTCTATGAAATAATGGATGTTCAGAAGATCCTCAGAGACAGCTTTGAGCATTGAGAAAAATGCATTCTCATATCATTTTACGGTGAATTTCATGTAATAATTATTAAAAATAACACAAATAATAGGTAGAAAATAAATTGCATCAAAAATCCAAACACCGAGGAAAAGATCAGCATAATCACTCTCTAGTATCTTCTTTCCTCCGGCAATGGAACGTAATTGAAATTCTGCGCAAGAAAGTTTATTTTAAAGACCACTGGTTGCAAGTCGATAATCGCCCATTTATTTTTATTAGCGAGAGAATAATATGTTAATCGAACAGACACGATCGACAATTGCGTTTTTCATTGTGTTACGTTTGAATTTCACGTATAATATACTTATATTTCATATATATCGTATTTTTTTTTATCAGAGACCTTATGCTCGCTGGGACTCAACAGTCCGTGGAGCTGAAGCTGGCGTTGGATCAAGAACAGCTTAAGAGCAAGAAATTGGAGGAATCGATGAGGAAGTTGGACGACGAAATGAAACGTACGGACGAGCTGTTGTACCAAATGATTCCCAAGCAGGTCGCGGACCGTTTGAGGAACGGTGAAAGCCCGATAGACACTTGTGAGGTACATTTGGGACGTGTCGTTATGACTAATTAGACAAATGCGCGATTTTCATCATTTCTCGATCTGAACGCTCTCGCTTATAATCGACAATTTTTGTTACAACAACGAACGGCAACAAACCAGACACACGAGCAGCATATACCCTATAAGCGCGTAACATTCTTGGAATATTATATGAATATTATAGGAATGTTCTATTGATGTTATATGTCCACTTTATATAATATTCTGGACATTTTATAAAAATGTTCTTAGAATATTAAAACAAAATAAAATAATAATAATATAGCAAAATATATATAAATAAAATATACATATATATTATATGTGTGCATATATATAGAGTTGAATATTTCAAAAATATGTAATATTACAATAACATTAAATAATATTACTAGAATCTTATTAGAATATTACGTTTAATATTCTAAGAATATGCACGGGATTTTACTTAATATTAAATAATATTACGCTTATAGAGTATTGGTTGGCTAACCATTGCTCAACGTTGACCAAACATTGGGTAACAGTTAGCTAACCTGTGCCAATCTGTGCTGCTCGGGAGGCTAACAAAGAGTCTTCAATTCACCTGTATAAAAAAACATTGAGATGGGGAGAATCGTGGTCGACGGATGAAACTACAAAGGCACCGTCGCGTTCGTCCTTCTTGCAGATGTTCGACAGCGTGTCGATCTTGTTCTCAGACGTGGTGACGTTCACCGAGATTTGCAGTAGAATATCGCCGATGGAGGTCGTGTCCATGCTGAACGCCATGTACTCGTTGTTCGACACTTTGACCGAGAGGAACCGAGTGTACAAGGTATTCTCTAGTTGTAGGTACCAGGATAACACGTTAATTGCGATCCCCTGGAAAATATCGTTTACAGTTACAACTTGTTTACTACAGCTAACTTGTTCATTAGCGATGTTAGTTTCGCTTCCCCCTCCCGCCAAATGTACGGCTCGCGAGTTTGACAGCAAATGTCGAAATAATAATAAAGTGTTAAAATAGTAATTTTGTAACTACGATATTGTGAGATGATATTCATACAGAAAGGTTGCAAGAACATTGTACAGACGTTACACTGTAACATTCCATATAATATTTCATATATGTCGCGTAAATGTCACCGTAAAGCTGCCCCTATATGGATTCCCACTTGGTTTTTTTCAACAGAGTTATATCGGGAACTTATTGTCCCAGTTTATATTTTTAAATATGAGTAAAAACAAACACAAATCTCCTAATTCTTAATTTTACACATGATCTATTTCAGCGTTATAACCGTTATTATTTCGTACGTAACATGTGAGAATCATAATATTAAGAAGTATGAAATAAATTTCTAATAAATCTCAAGAACGTTACTGCGATATTCCAGCGGCCAATATTGCAATTCCATGTTATGTCTCCGTAATATTACATTATAACGTTCTTGTAACATAACACTGCAAAGCTTTCAAGTGCTGTATGGGCTAAAGAGGTGGTAACGAATCACGGCATTATTCGCTCAATTCAAGGTCGAGACCATCGGCGACGCTTACATGGTAGTTTCCGGGGCGCCGGTGAAAGAGAATGATCACGCGGATCGCGTGTGCGATATGGCGCTCGACATGGTCGAGGCGATAACCGATCTGAAGGATCGCTCGACGGGTATGTTGCGGGTGATGTTTGTGCTTCAAAGTTTGCTCGAGGAAACGATTCAAAAGGGTGGTTGTCGCGATGTTCCCAGGTAATCACCTACAGATACGCGTTGGTATTCACAGCGGCGCGGTGGTGGCCGGTATCGTCGGCCTGAAGATGCCGCGGTACTGCCTCTTCGGCGATTCCGTCAACACGGCGTCTCGCATGGAAGCGACCAGCCAGGCCATGCAAATACACATATCGCAATCCACCCAGGAACTGTTGTCGCCCACATACAAGGTGAAGGAGCGCGGGGAAATCGAGGTCAAGGGGAAAGGTGAGATTCCTTTTCGGGACGCTTGCACGCTGAAAGCGGCGTCCCTGAAATGCAAAGATTACTGTTGCTTGCAACAGTGCTTCATTGACAACATTGCTGGCGATGTTGTTGGGTTATAATGTAACACTTACTTAGTGTTCAACACTGTATTCGAGATTTCTGCTGGGATTCTTCAGGCACGATGAAAACCTACTGGCTGGAGAAGCGAGAGCGCCGTTCCGTCACGACCAAGGGAATCACTATACAGGAGCCGCATCAGTGGCACACCAGGAACTTCGAGAAGAGAGTTTCCTCGGTGAGCGCGATAGGTCTGATAAGCCCGGGCGTGTTCGAAAAGCCGAGCTCCGTCGGCGACGTCTTAGCGAGACGCTCGTCCAAAATATCGTCCCCGACACCACCGGCAGCGGGATCTTCGGCAGTTTTCCCCGAGGAAAGAAGGATATATTCTCCCATCACCTTCCAGGACGTTGCACGACGATCGGTCGCAAACTCACCGACGAAGAACGTGGAAGCTAGAGGTGGATTTCTCTTTCTCTGTAGTAATGTTTAAAACAGTATTTCAATTATATATGTGCGTGTTTTTAAGATCAACTTTGTGTTTTTTTTTATGGAAACTTATATTTTTCATCACGGAATTTTGTTCCACGTGAAAAAACCAACAACTTTTGTCTGAGAAATATTTCCGTGCGACCTCTGTTTCTTTAAATATTTAGAGAAATAATCACAAATTATTTGTTCTTCAATAATTTTTTACTCGAATTCTATCAACTTTGAAGAAAAACAGCAAGAGACAAAAATGGTTTATTTTCCTCTCACAGATCTCTGAGAATGTTTACAATTACAGAGTGCCGATCAAATTCCATGGGCGCGGTGGGTGTCAGGAGCGCGTCAGATATGTTCAGTTCGCTTCTGAGCGATACGGAGGAGCACTTCCGCCAGCACAGAAACAGTATATCCGCGCGCTCGGACAACCAGTCCGCTGCGGTGCACGTGAAACCGGAAGTGAGAATCAATGCCACCTCATCATCATCCTCGTCCTCCGCGTCCTCGGAACGTTCCGAGGACGGGACGCATCCATCCCTGGACTTGCAGCTGCCGAAAGAGAACGTTGGCGATAACAGCGAATGCGCAGCGTTCAGTAGTGATCTCAGCAACTCCCAGTTACTGATGCAGCAGGACCAGTGTTGTCCCGGCTTCACTATGTCGAAGAACAGCAAGATGCGCTATCAGGGAAACGGATGTATTATTTCGTAATGGCGAAATTTCAAGGTCGACGGATCAATGTCCGGATATCGCTGATTGAATGCGAATTTATATCCGCGTGATTTGTGTAAGTGTATACACATACACACACACATATCAATTTCTGTAATTAAATATGTCAGTAAATTTTCCTCGCGATACTGTTCGCTCAAGAGATTCGTTATAGAATGTAAAACGGTGTATGTGAGACAATTTTTTTTTTCTAATGTAAAGTATCGTGTAAACCTATCGTGCAATTCGCTCAGATAATGTAAATTTTCCATTTGCTTTTTTTTCCCCGAAACACAAGCTCCACAGACGACGAGTATTCTTTTTGAGAGGCCCACACCGTGCGTCAATTCTTAGAAATTAGCCTGCTAGGACATTTTGTATATACGAAGAAAACCCTATTATTTACAAATATACATAGTGCTAACATATTTTCTGTAAATATGTATCAAACATAATATACAGTAATCGTTGATATTTTGGTTTTTTCACTTTCTAAATACATGTGCTACATACATACATATATACATATATATCCTTGTTCATTATAAATTCATTATAAATTTATATTGCCAAAATAATGGTTCATCTGTTCCAACGATAATTCGCGACAGGTTGAATTATTCAGGTCGTGAACTTCGAACAAAGGTACCGACTGAGTCGCCGCTTTGCCAATAACAATTACGTAAGGATAGCCTATTGCACGCGCATACATAAATCGCTTGCCGATTGTGAACTGCGTACGATCGTCCAATATCGTGTCTATATCGTGTTGGCGGAGAATCTCAAACAGTTGTTCAACATAGGCAGATGTATTTTCTTCTTTACTCCCAGCCTGTGGATCAAAATTCGTACATATACACACACACATAACGATATATAATTCTCCGCAGAAATAAAATTATACTCATCGCGTTGTTACCTTCGGAGGTATAATGTATGCCGTATACGGTGCTAAGTTCACAGGCCACCTCATCTCACTGTTTGTCGATAAGATCTCAATGACTAACGCTAAAATACGACTTAGTCCCAGACCGTAACAGCCCATTGTCATAGGTTTTAACTCGTTATTCTTCACGTACATCGCTTTCAACGGTTTCGAATACTTTGTATCTAATAAAAACGTATGTCCTACCTGCAGTTGTTATTTCCATTTATCTCAATGTCTCACTATCGTCACATAATATACAATTCTTGATTAAAAAATCTTTACAATTAAAAAAAAGTGTCTGATTACACAAAATTATAATATTCTAGAATCCTGTTGCATTTTTGCTCCTTGTATGAGCTAATTCGTTTTGAAAGGATATCATTCATAGAAAATGTGTACATTACCTCAGCAGAATTGTGCCGGTGTAATTCGTCTTTACACTTGGGACAAATGGTTGTTTCAGAAATGGTTTGATTGACACTATAATCACACGAGGAACACCGAAATATAACGTCTTCGCCAATGTCGGATACATAATGGTATTCGTGCGATAACAAACCTCCAATTGTTCCAACATCACCTATAACTGCATCAAGGATAGATTAAATGATTCGATTTTTAAAAACTGTTATTAAACATCCCTTAATGTATATGTATAAAATTAACTTCTGATTTTACGATTATACATATCTGTGAATCTCTATGAGCAATATAGACTCTGATGTAAAATCAGAAACGATAGTTACCCTTTATATGATCTATGCCAATCTGCTGAAAAATCTTATTATAAGCTTTGCAAACCAAATCGTATGTATTTCGTGCATTATCCAAGGTAGTATCGAATGTGTACAAGTCCTTCATGATCAATTCTCTGCTACGTAGAAGGCCGTGCCGTGGTTTCATTTCGTCTCGCCACTTGTTAGAAATTTGATATAATCTCAAAGGTAATGATTTGTCATAAATTTGTTCCATTGACACCAAGTCACAAATTGCTTCTTCATATGTCTATAATAATAACATTGGAGAATACTCAAAAAGTTTATATTTTTATGTCAATATAAATAATGTTAAACACTATAAAAATCTGCCCGGATCAAAGCTGCTTGTAATAACTAAGTTATAGTGCAAAAGGTTTATTTAATTAAAGTTAACTGTAAAATGATAGTTTGATGAAATAATTAGCTTATTAAAATAATTCATTATCAACTTCGACATCTTCATCTATAAAGAAATTCTTTAATTTTCTCTTTTTAAATTCATATTTTATTCTAATTTTATTTGAACCACAAAACCTAATAAAAATGTTATATTCTTTATACTAATCCAATAATAATTAACTTATTATATATAGTTTATTATATCTTTTAGAAGTTCTTCCAGTCTTTACTCCTTCTGTAGTAACTACAATTATGCAATACATAAGAATTTTGCATCTTATTCAATTATGAAATATACATCATAACTACATATACAACAGAAATAGAAATAACTCTTTTCAGAAAATTTTCAATTAAAACAACCATGATCTAAACATAAAATATTATATATATTTTCCACTTACTGGACTTAAAATATATTCTTTATCATGTCTATCAATAACTGTAAACAATTCAGGTTTGTTCAAGTTATATCTGTCAGTCTTCTTCCACAGTTTAGCAGGAGTTAACGCTGGTAGCATTATTTTTTCTGCGCCAAGATTTGTCATTTCCTTATCAACAATATTGATTAACTTATTTAATACTCGCATTCCCAGTGGCAACAATGAGTACATGCCAGTGCTAACTGGTTTAATGATCCCATAATTAATCATTAACTGAAATTGCATATAAACGTTTAAGAAGATGGTTAAGAATATAGTCGTCTTACAAAATAAAAACAGATTTTACTGAATTTGTCAATATTGAAATGGATTCTAAAAGGATGTCAATTAAACTATGTATACCTTATAACTTTTGGATAAAATCTCTTTCTTATCTTTATCATCAAATATTCCGCTCCGTAAAGGTTGGAACACTTTGGACGTTCTAGCCAAGTTAACAATCGTTTTATTTGTCATCTTAAAAAAAATTTTCAAATCTTTGAACAATGTCACTATAAAATACGTAACCGCAGACCGGCATGTACAACGACGCTCAGTTTAAAATGAGGTTATTCCTAAAATGAAAGATTGACAAGAGCTACAACTACATATCTATATAATAACTAGGCTAGGGATAGACTAGGGGCTAGGAAACTTGAGTTTAGTTAACTTTGCACGGATTGGCCAAATTCAATTCATCTTAATTACCGTCTGATACGGACCTTAAAAAATTGACCAATTACAGTCGACTATTCTCCTTACATTCGACTTGTATTTGAACGAGTTTAATGGCTAGAAATTATTATAATTTGTATGATAAACAAGGAACGGCATATGCCCTTCTCTCTCTCTCTCTCTCTCAATGTTCGGCGTTGTGAGGGTAATAAATTGGAGAATCATTACAACGTATATACTTGCAAGGCTGTTTGATTGACAGCAAATATATCTTCATTCTTTCTTTTATTTACGTCGCCATATGATCTAGAAATAGTGTGTATTACTGCACAAATAAATGTAACACAGGCACAAATGTAACACACGTGATCATACAAATATAGCGTGTAGTACAATAAGAAAAAAAAAACGCATTTCAATCCATTATGGATATTCGTCACTATCGTGAAAATCCGGGAAAAAAGTATATATATATATATATAATTATGTGAAATCACATATAATTATACATGATTATATATAAATGTATGAAATAATGTATGAAATAAAAATACTGTTGAATGCAAAATGGAAAAAGATTAGTTTCATTTTTAAGTGTTTATATCGTGTGAGCAGCCATAAACATAAGCATTCGCTTCAATTACATTCATGCAATTTTCAAATGTGAATATGTATAATTATATATGTGGATATGTATATATGTATATATAGAGAAATGTGGACATATATAATTATATATGTGGATATGTATAATTATATATGACTATAGACATATAGAGAAACAAAATTCGTATATAATTATTTTTCTTCCCAAGAATTTTGAAGAGGCGTGCCAGAGATTATTTCTAAATAAAAGACATTGGTAAATTGGCGTGTATCGCTTCCAAACTCTTCAAATGGTCTTTCTTACACCTAAAGTCGTCCGTCAGTGTAATGATTTTTGCAAACGGAAAAAAAAAACATACATATTATACACATAAATATATAGCGACTAATCGTAACTGAAAATTATACGATTCATGCCGTGATCGGTTACTTACACTTGAAGCAATATTTTGCCACGCTCAGCAGCTATATGAGCATAATACGTTGGGACCGGATAACTTATTGAACTCTTGCATTTTGCGTAGATATGACACAAGTGATACGTTAACTCCTCAATTTGGTCTTCCGTGAAATCGCTTTCGTTACATATACATTTGTACTTCGTAGGTCTTGCTGTACCCTGTGTGCACGTACATAACTTAATTATGATATATCATGCGTAAACTCAAAACTCATCTGGTGAAGAGAAATAAGACATGTAGTTCATAAAACTGATGGCTGATGTGGGACATATATAATTATATATGATTATAGGCATATAGATTATATGCATATAGAGAAACAAAATTCATATATAATTATTTTTCTTCCCAGGAATTTTGAAAGGAGCGTGCCAGAGATTATTTCTAAATAAAAGACATTGGTAAATTGGCGTGTATCGCTTCCAAACTCTCCATCTTAATATATCCTTCCTCAAATAGACAGAAACGCTGAACACCCAATAAGCATGAAGCACTAAATCAATCTTTTATACTTTTCATACTTAATATACCAAAGCTTTACCTGTGGACTTCTGTGTGACAGTAGATAAAAATCGATATGATTCGGATGAGTTATTTCCGTGTCGACTATCGTGCCGGGCATTACATTTTGAGATTTCTGGTTACTTCTGGTTACTTCTGGTACTACCGGAAGATGCTCGAAGAAACGCACATGATGTCTCTTCTGGACGATTAAGTAAGTGAGCTCGGGTTTGAATCTATACTTAGGATTTTGTAGCTCGAATGTGTAAAATGCCTCCTTAATCTTTGATATTTCGTTGGCCAAAATTTTTTCTATTTGTCCTTCGCTAACTCCGTCCCTAAATTAAAATACAACCCGGAAGAAAATTTCCCATCAGGTGTTCACTTTTCGATAACATCGTATTAATATTTTTCTACATAATAATACAAGGGAAACCGATTTGTATTGCAAAACTATAAAATTCCACTAAAAAAGAAATAACGCCAATAGTAATATGACCTTGAAAAACATCACCTTAGATGTGATTCAAAGTCACAATATTATGTCCCCTTCGAGAACCTACAACTTTTGTTTAAAGTATTTTTTTTTACAATCAAAAATAAAAAAGTAAAAATAAAAAATCACCAATAGCAGAGATATTAAGAGGAGCCATAATATCATCCTTCCTGTTGCTGAATAATTTTATTATTCGTATACGAATAATAAAATTACTGAGCAACGGTAATTTATTACTGGCCAATTTGTCAAGGGTAGTACAATACTTTTCTTCTAAGGGCTTCTTCTATATAAAAAAGAGCAATTTAAGAAAAACGTCATGACCTTAATATTTCTCAATATATATTCGACAACTAAGCTCTTCCCGAAAACGTGTTTTTACACGTGGTTTTACACACCTAAGAAAAAAAGCTTTCAAAAGATTTTATATGAACCACAGCGTTGCCGATACGCACCGATAAAAGAGAATTCTTTTGGGCACTCGGCCCACTTTATCTTTATAATAGTTAAGATGTTTCAACATTATATCTTTCAGATTGGAAATAATTTCTTGTTTTGGGTCTTGTGTCCTAATCGTGACGTTATATTTGAAGAACGAATTGTCATGACTTGCGACAACCTAAATTATAACATTCTTCATCAATTATGTAAAATTTACGTTCACATATACATATACGCTGCTTAAAATAATTCGATTATTTCGTCACAGATGCTTACATAATATACAGGGTGTCTGACAATTAAAGATACAACACTCGTGTGCAGATGGAGCGTGTCAAATTAAATAAGTCCTTTACCATTTTGCAGATTTTAAAGGACACTGTTTGTAGACATATTCAGGATAATCTTAGAAACGTTCTGTGCTTTTTGGGAAAGGATGATTGTAAAATCTACAAAATGCAGATAGAACATTTTCTTATTTAGTTTATTTGCACACAATCATCGTTATTGATTGTCAGACACTCTGTGTATGTCATTTCAATATTTCTTGTAATATTCCCGCTTTCTCTTTTCTCGATATGTTTATATGAAAATTATACAATTCAATCTGCAAAATCGTTTCAACAGATGAAGATCTAATTGTTTTGAACCGCTTATAAAGGAAGATTGCAGTTTAACACGCGATCTGTGCCGCGTGGCCCGCGCTGAACTTCCCGTTTTTCAATTCGTCTGATATCTTGATTCTAAGACAAAACATAATGATAAAATGTTACATAATTATTACAAGACAAATTTATTGTTTGACAAATAAAGTTTGGCTGGTAATGCGACAACGCGCGGGCCACCGGTAGTCTATTATGGTTATATGACTTTTGGACGACAAGAACAGCCGCGTAAAATTAAATTGTTCCAGCACACAGAACATATTATAATATGTTACCGCAACTACAGAGCAAACATTTGGAGGAGCATCGGGAGGCGGATGGCTCACATCGGCACCAACGAGCATGCATTCTGCGTTAAGCAGACAATACGGCCTGAAGAAGGGACACAGAATGATTTGAAGCGAGATTATTATTAAGAATAGCGAAATGAATTCAAAAGCACAAGTATTATTTACTCACATGCATGTACTAGCAATGACATGGTTAACGCCATTTAATTTTGCATTTATTTTTAGAGCAATATTCATAGTAATGTTATTTAAGTTATTTCTTACGTTATCTATCGTATTGACTTTTATACATTGTGTCAATACACCATTTACTAATTCACTACTTTTCTTCACTTCACCTGGTACAGATGTTTCAATTTGATTAATATCGAGAGAATGAAGAGAAAGAAGAGAAGGAAAAGTCACGTACTTACCGTAGATGTTCGGAGAATTTGGTATGATAACTATTATCAATCTTACATTTTTCGTCTTCATCGCTTTGAAGTAGTCATTCATTTCACATTTAAATGCTGTTTCGCTCGTATTTAGTGTATGGATATCTGAAGTTATTCTATCAATTTTCATACCATAGCGCCGAGCTAAAAAAAGGCAAAGGAAAATCGAGATAACGAAAACCTATTGTAAAAATACGCAACGCATATTATAATATGATTTAAGGCTATGATTCGTAAGATGACATTTACATTTATTTGATTGTAAATTAATAGAGAAGAAGGTGGTACTTCAGTCCTTGTCGGTATAATGGCCGCTTTTAATATCTCCACTAATTAGGTGGCGAATTCTAGTGAATATTTATAGAATTATTTATTTAAAACTTTTATTCTTAAGCATCTCGGAACATTTTCAAATTATATCTTAGTATTTAATTATACACGCTTTATTATTGGAGAGGCTACATTTTATCATCCCTGTTCCTCCTCGACTTATGCTGCGTCGTTATATTTCTATAAATAACGTTTTAAATAATAACAATTACTTCGTAACTTTGAGCCTAGAATCGATTGAACGACACTTTGACACGAATGTAACGTTCAGATCTCAATTTAAAATTAACTATCAACAAAGTTATCGTACAAAAAGTAAATGGGAAGCCGTAATGTATACCACCTTCTCCTCTACTATAATGGAAAATTTATTTCCGAACACATCATTCCCGCATTTAACAAGTTCGCTTGTAACTTATAAGAAGTATCCTAAAGAGGATAAAAAGTTTGAAGGGTGATTTTTTTTATGTACTTTACCAGAATCGCATAATGCAGTGATAAAAGCATCTATTCTCTCTCTTGATAAGTTTCTCCCAAAACCCTGCATAAACAAATTTCGAATAGAGCCTTACAGAGCGTTGCAGAAAATTTTGTACAGGCAGAAGGGCAACAAATTTAATGGAATCTGTTCTATCGCAGATTATATTGCCAAACTGTTGCCTAGAAATGTGGCAGAACCTGCTGATACGAATAATCCGAGCAGATCGGCGGCAGAAACTAAGCAGACCTTTTTAATGATTCGACGGCGGCAAATTGGTAGCGGGAGAAACCAGGAAGATCTTGCGCTGCGCGGTTTCTATTTTGCCAATCTGTTCCAATTGCCTGTCAGTAGGTTCTGTCGCCGAAACATGAACATGAAAATACGGACATATGGCTATGATTGATATGAAATATTCTTCTTTAAATTGAAATAACATCTCGCTCGATTTTTGACATGATCAATTTAGTGTCAAAAACTGCGGCTGAGCAGATCTTGCTTAGTTTTTGGTGTCGATTTCCTGTCAAATTATATTACGCAAGTTTCGTTAGCAAAACATAAGCTTCAATCACGAACATAGATGACATCGGATTCTCCAGATCAAATTTCGAGCAAATTTCGATGCCAATTTGGCGGCAATTTGCTATAAAATTGCTTACTTTAGAGCAAAGAGAGAGGATATTCCAGTTTCCGTTTAAGTCCATAGGATGTTTTAGACATTCATTGGCATTCCAAGTCCCCTTAACCACTGTTACTGCTTTTTCGGACTTGTATTGAAGATTAGGGGGAGTTAAAACCCTCGCGTTGACTATTTTCATTTTGTTATCCACTCGGAAATTGAACTCGTTCATTAAAACAGGGCTATTGTTTACGTTAATCATGTTAAACTACAAATATATACAGTACAATAAGTGACAATCCAATTTTTAATGTGTAAAATAATAAGAAACATGCCTTTTCTTACCATGTCTGTAATTTTTTGCTTACGCATTACTGGAGAAGTCGCTGTTTGCCTGATTATATCACTGTTCCGGTCCTTGTCTATATGTTTATTCATCGGCTGATTAGCCACGATTGTGCACAACTATAAGTAATTAATCGAATTTTTAACTGGTATTATTCTGTCAGTTTTTAGCGGATATGTATATTTACGTACTTCCGCAGGCAAATATATCTTTGATTCCTTCTTGCCCACCTGAAGGCAAGGCAAATTCGGCTGGCACAATCCATAATTCTTGCAACGTTTGAAGTACTCCACAATTGTGCATTGTTTCTGTTCATTCTTAGGTTTAAATTGATATTTCTCGGCGGTTGGCCCTAACTGAATCACACGATGCCTCCGCTTCGAACTCGGTTGATTGGGTATAAAATAATCCACCATCAACCCAGTAATATACCTGTTAATTTTCTCTTTATTATTCGCCACAAGTGATGCCAATGATGCTGTACGTCCTTGGTAAGCGGTATTTTGACCCCTACTTTTGCATAGTTCTTTGAATAAGTCGATAACATTTTGAGGCTTTGCAAAAGTTTTATGACAGACTAAACAAAAGAATATGAAAGAAAAAAGTATTGCACAGAGACAATATAAAACATATGTATGCGTACACATATATATATATATATATATATATA